CCTCCCAAGTAGCTGGTACTAAAGGTGCCTGCTACACGCCTGGCTACTTTTAGAGACAAGGTCTCTCCCTGGCTCATGTTGGTCTCAAACCTGTGTGCTCAGGCAGTGCCTTGGCCTCCCAGAGTGCTGGGATTACAGGTATCCCCAGTGTATATTCTTGTCAGTTTTATCAAGGATCATTCGACTTAGTCTGTGGCTCTGCCTCTAGGTTCTTTACACTGTTCCTATGGTGGAAGTGTGCTGGTCCTTATTTACGTACCATGCTATTTTGGGTACGATAGCCTTGCAGTATGATTTGAAGTAAGGCAATGCAGTACCTCCAGTTCTTCTGGCTGTTTGGGTCCTTATTTTTTTTTCTTTTAAGACAGAGTTTCACTTAGTTGCCTTGGGGTTGAGTATCATGGTGTCCTTTTTGGTTCCATGTGAATTTTAGAATTGTTTTGATTCTGTGAAAAATGATGTTGGCATTTTGATAGGGGTTGCATTGAACCTGCGGATGGCTTTGGGAAGTGTGATTGTTTTAATGATATTAATTTTTCTGATCCTTGAGAGTGGATTTTTTTTGTTGGTGTCATCTGCAATTCACCAATGTTTTGTAGTTTTCCCTATAGAGCTCTTTAACCCCCTAGTTAAATATATTCCTAGGTGTTTTATTGTTTGTAGCTGTTGTTAACTGGGATGGCCGTGCTGATTATGTTCTCAGGTAAGTCATTATAGGTGTATTAGAAATGCTACTGGTTTCTGTACGTTAATTTTTGTATTCTGAAACTTTACTGCTTTTATCAAATTTAAGAATTTCTGGTGGATTCTTTAAGGTTTTCTAGATATAAGATATCAGCAATGAACAGGGACATCATGACATCTTCTTTTCCAATTTGGTTACATTTTATTTCCTTTTTTTTGCCTCTCTGCTCTGGTGAGGACTCCAGTGCTCTGCTGGTGGCAGTGGGTACCATGTCTTGTTCCAGTTCTGAGGGGAGTGCTTTCCCCATTCAACATGATACAGCCTTTATTACTTTGAGGTGTGTTCTTTTAAAGCCTCGTTTGTTGAAGATTTTTATCATGAAGGGATGCGGAATTTTATCAAATGCTTTTTCTGGCCAGGAGCAGTGGCTCACGCTTATAATCCTAGCTCTTTGGGAGGCCAAGGCAGGTGGATCACCTGAGCTCAGGAGCAAGAGTAAGACCCTGTCTCTACTAAAATATTAGAAAATAGCCAGGCATTGTGGCACACATCTATAGTCTCAACTACTAGGCAGGCTGAGGCAAGAGAATTGCTTGAGCCTAAGGGTTTGAGGTTGCTGTGAGTTATGACACCATGGCACTCTACCTAGGGCTGTGTGTGTGACTCTGTCTCACAAAGTAGAAACAAACCATGGCACTCTACCTAAGGCTGCTTTTGTGTGACTCTGTCTCACAAAAAAAAAAAAATGCTTTTTTTCATGTCTTTTGAGATGATTATATGGTTTTTGTACTTAATGCTGTCTATATAACATATCACATTTATTGATTTACATATGTTAAACGACTCTTGTATCCGTAGTTAAAAATAAAACCCCACTTGATCATGGTGTATTATCCTTTTGATGTGCTGATGAATTTGATTTGCTAGGATTTTGTTGAAGAGTTTTGCATCTGTATTCATCAGGGATATTAGTCTGTAGTTTTCTTTTTTTGTTGGAACTTTATTGGTTTTGATAGCAGGGTAATACTGGCCTAGTAGAAGGAGTTAGGGAAAATTCCCTCCTCCTTGAGTTTTTTTGGAGCAGTTGGATTCCAGGAGGATTGGTTCTTTGTATGTTTGGTAGAAGTCAGCTTGTGAATCCATCTGGTCCTGTGCTTTTTTTCTTTCTTTCTTTCTTTCTTTTTTTTTTTTTTTGGTCGAGACAGAGTCCCACCCTGTGCCCCTGAGCAGAGTGCAGCGGCTTGGTAGCTCACTGCAACCTCAGACTCCTGGCTTGTGGGCATCCCACTGCCTTAGCCTCCGGAACCCTCGGGATTACAGGTGCTCTCCGTGGCTCCCAGATGTGTTTTTCTATTTTTTTCATGAGTCGGGGTCTCACTTTCCCTCAGGCAAATCTCGAACTCCGGAGCTCCAGCAATTCTCCCTCCTCAGCCTCCAACAGTGCTGGGATATAGGCGTGAGCCACCGCGCCCGGCTTTTCTTTTTTTTTTTTAAGGAGATTTTTATTTTGTTACTGATTCACTCTGACTAGTCATTACTAGTCTATTCAGGAGTTCTATTTCTTCCTGCTCCAGGATCAAGAAGCTGTTATATTTCTATTTTTTTTTTGAGACAGAGCCTCAAGCTATCCCCTTGGGTAGAGTGCCGAGGCTTCATAGCTCATAGCAGCCTCCAACTGGGCTCAAGTGAGTCTCCTGCCTCAGCCTCCCAAGTAGCTGGGACCACAGGCACCCGCCACAACGCCCGGCTATTTTTTGGTTGCAGCCGTCATTGTTGCTTGGCGGGTCCGGGCTGGATTTGAACCCACCACCTTAGGTGTATATGGTTGGCGCCTTAGCCACTTGAGCCACAGGCGCCGAGCCGAAGCTGTTATGTTTGTAGGAATTTATCCATTTCATCTAGGTTTTCTAGTTTGGGAACATACAGTTCATAATAGTCTCCAGTGATCTTTTGCATTTTTGTGGTATCACTTATAATGTCTGCTTTTCCATTTCTGATTTTATTTGGGTCTTCTATCATTTCTTGGTTAATCTAGCCAGTGGTTTGTAAATTTTTAATTTAATTTAATTTTTATTTAGCATAGACTGTCAAGCAATGATTTGTCAATTTTTTTCTTTTTGCGATAGAGTGATAGTTTATTAGAGGATAGAAAAACTTCCAACACAATGGAAGTGGTCCCAGTGGGTTGCCCAATTTTGCTGATTTTTTTTTTTTTTTTTGAGACAGAGCCTCAAGCTATCCCCCTGGGTGGAGTGCTATGGCATCACAGCTCACAGCAACCTCCAACTCCTGGGCTCAAGCGAGTCTCCTGCCTCAGCCTCTCAAGTAGCTGGGACCACAGGCGCCCACCACAACGCCTGGCCATTTTTTTGGTTGCAGCCATCATTGTTGTTTGGCGGGCCCGGGCTGGGGATTCAAACCCGCCACCTTAGGTGTATGTGGCCTTAGCTGGTTGAGCCACAGGCGCCGAGCCTTTGCTGATGTTTTTGAAGAACCATCTTTTTATTTCATTGTTGATTCTTTGTATTGGTGTTTTGTTTTCTTTTGTTCTCTATTTCATTCAGTTCTGTGCTAATCATTGTTATTTCTTTTCTTCTGCCAACTTTGGATTTGATTTGCTCTTGGTTTTCTAGTTCCTTGAGGTGTGACATTAGTTTGTTTCTACTTTTTTGATGTGGGCATTGAAAACTGTAAACTTCCTTCCTTAGCACTGCTTTTTCTGGTCCATAGGTTTTGGTATGTTGTGCTTTCATTTTCATTCATTTCAGAAGTTTTTTGAATTTGTGTCCTTATTTCTTTGTTGACCCAGTGATCATTGAGGAATGTGTTAATTTCCATGTATTTGTGTGGTTCCTGAAATTCCTTTTCTTATCATTTTTCAGCTTTGTTCTACTGTGGTCTGAGAAATTACTTGATATGATTTGGATTTTTAAAAAATGTCTTAAGACATGTTTTGTGGCCTAAAATATTGCCTTATCTTGGAGAACGTGTTAGTGAAAAAGATGTATGTTCTGTAGTTGTTGGACAGAATGTTCTGTAAATGTTTAAGTCCATTTGATCTAAAGTCCAATTTGCATCCAGTGTTTGTTTATTTTCTATCTCATGATCAGTCTACAAATAGGTTTTCTGCTCCAAACTGACACACCAGTTTGTGTGTCATCTTGATACAGGGACCATGTTATTCTTTGTATCATTCCAGTATTAGTGTATATGGGTTGTTTTAGAATGAAATGGGGGTGTAAATGTACAAATGAAACTCCCCAGGTCAGGTACTGTATTACTCTATTATACCTTTCTCTTACGACCTGGATTTTAGTCATTAGGAGCATGCAGTCCTTTCTTTGCCACAGATGATTGGCAGTGATTTTTGTAGGCCTTCCCAGGAGCATATCCAATAATCTTACTATGAGTTTATCTTCCTAATAATTGATTGGTAGAAATAAAGTGCTTTTTTTGAACAGGTAACTTATGTTGAAAACACTTTGTTCGTCACTAATTGGGTACCTTTGTTGATCTCGTCACTTGTCAACTTTGTGACAGATTACTTAAAGCATCTGATAGAAGACTTGATTCTCAATGATATTATCAAGTGTTCTCAGGAATTGTTCTGATTGGTTTACTTGTAATAAATGTTTACATGTCATATATTTCAAATAAAGATGAAATGATCAAAGGGGTAATAAGTGTATCATGTATCTTTATCTGTGGTTATTTTACTTTAAATCATTGACTATATTAGGTCCCTAAGGAATATTTGTTGAATGAATAGTAATTGCTTTCTACACAATGTTGTCTGTTGTTTATAGGACTTCTCTATTAATGTTCTTATGTAACTGGAAAAGCTATTTGTGCGTTTTAACACAAATTTAAGATCTCTAAAGTTAGAGATGAAGATAAGAATGTTATTAGGTGGTTACTCCTTTTTTTTAGAGACAGAGTCTTATTTTGTTGCCCTTGGTAAAGTGCTGTGGCATCACAGCTCACAGCAACCTCCAGCTGTTGGGCTGAGTTGATTCTCTTGCCTCAGCTGAGTAGCTGGGACTACAGGTGCCTACCACAATGCCCAGCTATTTTTTCTGTTGCAGTTTGGCCAGGGCCAAACCCACCACCCTCGGTATATGGGGCTGGCGCCCTACTCACTGAGCCACAGGCACCGCCGAGGTGGCTACTCCTTTAAGGATGCTATGCCAAGTTGGGACCAAGTAACCTCTAATTTTTTAATATTTTGTGTAGAAATGGACCTGGCCTAAATTGATAAATTTTTGTTTATTGCTTAACTTTTATGATTTGTTCATTCATTTTCTTCTCTTCTAAGACTGACTTTATGACTTTCCACCAAGAACATGACCTCCGTATCTCAAACTTGGAAGACATTCTCAAGAAACTGACAGAAAAATCTGAGGTACTTATTCTTGACCTTATAATTGTACGCCCCAACAAAATGACTTTTTTAATAAAAGAAAAACCAATTGCAGTTAATAGTTTAAAATTCCTTAGCCATTTAATGTGCCTTTTTTCAAGAGTATTTTTTTCTTGTTCTTTGTAAAACTAAACTGAAAGAAATGTTTGTTTTGTTCTCCTGGGACATTTTCACGTTGCTGCATTAGTGCTCAGTCAGTGCACCTGAGTCTCCAGCGCTAGGTGTCTCTCCAGGGTTAGAGCAGGCTGTGCATAGGAGGCAGGAGCCTAGTCCAGCTTTTCCTGTTCCTGTTTTTCCTCCCTGTCACACAGCCTCCAAAATTGCATTGTCTTTATAGGGAGAACAAAGGACCTGAACATTACTTTGGGGTCAGAAAGTCCATTATTATTAGATGCTGGTAAAGCTGGAGGCAGGCCAGAGGCTTGTCCTGATCTGAGTGATGCAGATTATGAAGTGTTCAAATTCAGGTTCAGAGCCTGGCATGTTAGAGATGTGATACTCACGTATTTTTGGACTAAGTTGTAAAACGTGATGAACCTAAGGGTTAGATCACAGCCCTTTGGGGATCTCAAGACCAGCCCTGTTTTACAGACCCTGTTAGAACCAGGGGAATTCAACTAAAAAGAAGGGGAGAGGGCTGAGAGAAGCCAGCCAGAGGTAAGAATTACCTCACCTGGTGAAAGGATCTAGGATTATTTCATTTTGGGGTGGCCTTGTCCTGTGTTGGAGCGGTGAAGACCTCTGTTAAGTCAGAGTTTGAACAGATCCTGTTATTCAACATAGTATAGTGTGGCTATCTCAGACATCTTTGACTAGACCGTGTTAATAAGTCATATCTCCATGTGTAAATTTGTCTTTTCTTTGCCTTCTACATGTAAAATGTACTCTCTACCGTGTTTCCCTGAAAATAAGACCTACCCCCAAAATAAGCCCTAGCAGGATTTTTATGCATTTGTTAAATACAAGCTCTACCCCAATAATAAGACCTAGTGATGGTCTTATAAGACATCCCCTGAAAGTAAGTCCTAGTGTGTCTTCTTGAGAAAAAATAAATAAAAGACAGTGTCTTATTTTCGAGGAAACACAGTAGAGGTGGTGACCATGTTCTGTTTTCTTAGCTGGCTGCTAGTTGTAGGAGCTGTGTATTTTGAAAATTCATTAAGCTGTTCCTGTGAGATTTGTGCACAGGAATGTCTCAAAGTACACATGATGACTTTTAAAAAAAGTTTTCTTTGATATATAAAATAAACATCCCCTACTTGTGAGTCTACTTTGAATTGAGAGTGAAAAAGTCTAGATAAAAATACAGTTTTTAAGTAAATCAGATAGGATTTATGAAGTCTGTATATAACTGTGTATTAAAATAGATTGTTTCTTATACTTTTTAGGCCATCCGGAAGGAATTAGAACAGACCAAGCTAAAAGCAATTAGGTAGGATAATTTCAAATAATTTACTATTTTGTCTTTTATGTTTCTCTTTTTGGTGATTTGGAGTGGCAGCAATATGAGGGGATGCTGGCGTGGACCCCACCCAGCATTGTCAAAGTAACTGAGCTTTGTGGTTGAGACATGCCCAACTGTGTGTTCTTCTGGAGACCCCTCTGGAGCCAAGTGAGGATTGTCAGTGTTTCACCATACCCAGAGGTGATGGTGCCCCTGCTTGGACCTGAGAGCCTTAGTGCTGGGTGTGTGTGGAGGGGCCAGCCTTGGAACTCGTGTTACAGTGGACTCTAGGCCAGGCCTCCACGAGATCCATTGGCTTGAGTTAAAGCTTGGCATTATCCCTCATGCTCTGCAATTCCTCCAGCAAGCAGGACCCTGCCTTCTGGGAAGCATGTTTCCTATTGGCCCTCTTCACAGGCTGCCCTCCCCAGGTGGCTTTGGGCTCTCTGCACTCAGAGGCCACTGCTCTTGTGCTCCCCCACACCATTTCTTTGCCATGCAGTCATTGCAGTCCTTCTACAGTATCCTGGGGCCCTGGAGTTTGCCTGTACCCCCTTTAAAGTGTGGTGTTTCCCTTTCACTGGTATTCCCAGAGCTGCATCATTTTTTTTCACATCTTTAATTTTATCCCATAGCAAGCTCTCTCCATACTCCTTATCTTCTTCTTCTTCTCCGAAATATGAAGACTTTACTTTTTTAGTGTTTCCTCTAATTCATGTGGCTGGACTCAGGAGGGACCATTCAGATGAACTTTAGCGTGTTAATGTGCATCCTCCTCACCTTTGCTCCTGTGTGTTTTTGAGGACCCTTGTTGGGACTCTAGACCCTGGATGTCCCTCTTTGGGACACTTGAGCACATCTTCTTTCCTTCTAGAACTTTCATTTCAAATAATAGTTGCTCTGATGTGCTAACATGGGAACCCTAAAGTGTTTATCCACAAGTATACTTTTTTGAGTTATGGATGGTTAATATCTCAACCACTATGTCTACCTATAAACAAATGTAAAGACATTGCAATATTTTATATTATTAATATAATATATAGTACCTACATAAGATAGAATTAAGACAAACCTGAAGCCATATATTTTTTGATTATTCATTACATTGGCATGAAATTTAGGTTCAACTAAATTATCAGTAGTTATTGATAAATATTATTTCTGAAGTCTTATGATTTTAAGGAAATAAAGTATTTAAATACTAAATTGTTTTCATCTTCCACTAAAAAGATCACCAATGCTGATAGCATTTGGGGAGAGAGCCTACTTGTATGGTCTTTGTAATTTGTATATTAAGCACCTGTGAGGTGTCCCTTTGGGATTGTGATTTGTGAGTGGTAGCAAATGTCCATTTACCATAGTACAGCTTGGTGTCTTTACAGTGCTGACTCTCCTAGGAATATGATTGGTTTTTCTTAATGTGTATGTGTAGAATGTTTAAGTGTAGGTGGCTTAAGGTGCGTGACTCGTTTCTTGTCATCACTGAATTCCAGGGAGGCTGACGAGCAGCACCTCCTGTCCACTGTCAGGCACCTTGAGTTAGAGCTGGATCACCTGAAGTCAGAATTGTCAAGTTGGCAGCATGTGAAGACCAGCTGTGAAAAGATCGATGTAATACATGAAAAAGTATGTTTCTTCTGTTTTTACTTCTTGTTTTATAAGGGAAAGTGAGAGAAAAATTGATTTGATGACTTAGATTTATTAAGTTCTTTAATTTCAGCTTCCTTTAAAAACTTTTTAAAACTATATTTGAAAGTTCAGCACCTGTAGCTCAGTGGTTAGGGCGCCAGCCACATACACTGAGCTGGCAGGTTTGAACCTGGCCCAGGCCGGCTAAACAACAATGACAACTACAACAACAACAAAAATAGCTGGGCGTTGTGGTGGGCACCTGTAGTCCCAGCTACTTGGGAGTCTGAGGCAAGAGAATCACTTAAGCCTAAGAGTTTGAGGTTGGTATGAACTGTGCCAGTACGGCACTCTACTGAGGGTGACAAAGTGAGACTCTGTCTCAAAAAAAAAATTATATTTGAAGATTTTAAACATTTCAAAATAACAAATTCAAACTTGCTCTTCAGATTTCCCTCAGTGAGCAGCATAACACGCCGATACTTGCATTTCTTTCCATACGTCTTCATATGCACACGCCCAAGGTCTCAGCACTGATCTGGGCAGGTTGTTTGTGTCTCTGCATCCAAGTAGCCATGCACCACAGCCTGCTGCTTGCTCTGTTTCCACTGTAACATCACTGATCTGCCTCCAGGTCTGTGTACCCTTTCATAGAGGAGAGAATCTAGACATTTAACAGCTGCTTGAGGATGAGAACACAGCATTTGGTCATAATAAGTCAGATCAGACAGTTGATTACAAAAGTAATTGTAACACAGATTCTTGTTTTTTTTTTTTTGAGACCAGAGTCACCCCTGGTTGAGTGCCATGGCATCATATCTCACAGCAACCTCAAACTCTTGGGCTCAAGCGTTTCTCTTGCCTCAGCCTCCTGAGTAGCTGGGACTACAGGTGCCCACAATGCCTGGCTATTTTTAGAGATGGGGTCTTGCCTAGCTCAGGCTGGTCTTGAACTCATGAGGTCAGGCAATCTACCCTCCTCGGCCTCCCAAAGTGCTGACAAATTCTTCTTAATGTGTAGAGCAGGGGTCCTCAAACTTTTTAAACGGGGGGCCAGTTCACTGTCCCTCAGACTGTTGGAGGGCCGGACTGTGGGCCCTGTGACCAGTCAGCTGCTAAGCAGGACAGGCAGCAGCAGCAAAAACACCTGGTCGGCTGGATAAATGTCCTAGGCAGGCCTTAGTTTGAGGACGCCTGGTGTAGAGTTTCTAGAATTGTTAAGAAGAGAAACAGTGGAGACATACAAAGCATCTTACTAATTGGATCTGCAAATTATTATTATTATTATTATTTTTTAAGACAGAGCCTCAAGCTGTCCCCCTGAGTAGAGTGCCGTGGCTTAACAGCTCACAGCAACGTGTCTTTAGTGCACAGATCCACAGGTGTGATGACAGCACCCATACTGACTGTTGGCAGTGGGCTTTCTTCTGACTAGTGGGACTGTGAACACCGATAGCCTTTGGGGGAAAATCTTATGATAGTAACCAGTTATAAATGTGCACTCACTTTGAAAACAGCAACCGAACTCTTGAGTACCAAGCATAGAGGCTCTAAGAGGCCATTGCCGTATGGGTAGCATTGAAGGGGGTGAGGGCAAGGAAGCACCTAGATCACCTCTGGGGAGTGTGGGCTGAACAGTGGCAGGTCTGTGCGGCTGTTCTGAGCAAATGCGCTGGTCTGTGTGTGTTACCATGGAAGGTGGTGCTTTTCTTGTGCTGCTTCTCTCAATCCTCTATTCCTTATAAAGCAAAAAGAGATTTGTATATACAGAGTGACATGTTTATGTGCACAAAAATAATACACGTGGACATACTAAGCATACATAAAGTTGCACTTTAGGTTCTTATATATGCCTGTTTCCTTATGAGAACAAATTTACTGAAAGCAAAGGACACTTTCATTCTTCTTTACACCTAAGCTATGGGAGTGCACAGGGGGTGCCCTATTGGATGGGGCATGCTGGCTGAGCAGTGTGAGACATGGCCTCTTTCTCTTTAGTTCCGTGGTTATAAATTGTATTGATATCCATGCTTTTGTTTATTCCTATTTACTTTAATATATTCCAACAAATTTAGAGGGGTTTTAAAATTTAGTACATAGGAAAATTGTGTCACAGTTCAATGGTACATTTTTATTTTATTTTATTTTTTCAATGGTACATTTTGAGAAGGTATACTTCTGAGGTATCTAAGATAATGTACATGAAGAGATGAAATGATTAGTTAAGATTGTAAATTCATGTTATATTTACTAATTATATTACCAGGTAGATGCCCAAGTCAGAGAAACTGTCAAACTCATATTCTCTGAAGATCAGCAAGATGGTTCTCTTGAATGGCTGCTCCAAAAATTTTCTTCTCAATTTGTAAGCAAAGATGACTTGCAGATTTTATTACAAGACTTAGAGCTGCAGATACTGAAGAATATCACCCATCACATTTCGGTGACAAAGCAGATGCCCACTTCTGAGACTGTTGTGTCTGCTGTGCACAAGGCAGGGGTTTCTGGAATCACGGAAGCGGTGAGTCGGCCCTAAAGAAGTGCTTGATGCCAATGTCACAGTCAGGTGGATTACTTGGTTATGAAGCCAGCAGGTTGTGATATTACCTTCTAAGGATGGTTGCACGGGAATGCAGTCAGGTATGAGTGAGGTGATGCCAAGTGTGCTTAGCCTGGTGCCAAATTCAGAGCTCAGTGAGTCTTGTTGCTCTCTTAGTGAGCTGAGTGTGACATTGTCATTCAGCTGCTTCTTGGGATGCTTTGTAGTTTGTGAATCTTTTTGTCCCAGAGATCCTATCTTCCTATGTGTGACCCTATCTTCTGATATTGCTTAAAAATTCCCCAGTAATACCCAGATTTCCCATATTATAGTCCCAAAGCGTAATCCTTGCTTTGTTCAAGTATTATTGCTCCCAGGGATTTTTTCTGTTTCTGAGATTTACCGTGACTGTGGCTGAGCCCCAAGTAGAGTGATTCTTGTGCCTTCCCATCTCTGTCTCAGCATGGGGCTGCTGAGATACCTCCTTGGCTGTCATCCTCTGAGTGTACTTTATTAAAATAGGCTCTTGATAGAAGCATCCAGTCTTTATTTGTGCCAGTAAAACCTAAGTCTTTTTCTGTTTCACATTGTCCAGCAAGCACGTGTTATTGTGAACAATGCTTTGAAGCTGTATTCCCAGGACAAGACTGGGATGGTGGACTTTGCTCTGGAATCTGGTGGTAAGTAAATAGACATTTTAATCACTGAACTAAATGGCCACCTATTATTGAGTGTGAACTTGAGAAGTTCCAGTAATAAGAACTCGTTAGAACTTTAAAAAATCTGATAAGAGCATTATTCTGGGCAAGTCCCTGGTATTGCTTCTTCCTGGTCAGTTGCTTTTAGGACACAGGTTTTCTCTGGAAGAGTTGGCGGTGTGTGCTTGTGGCCATGTCAGGGTCTATATCACAGCATGTGGGTCAGTCCCCCACACTCTCCTGTGGTTTGGTGGTCCTTCAGTCCTACAGTGGAGACAACAGTGATCACTCAACCCTAGCCCTGTGGGACTTCCTCTCCAGCAGTGAGAGAGGCAATAAATAGAAGCAGGCTAAATGGATAGAATGGCAGTATGGTGTTTTGGTTCTTCAAAGAAATACAAAGGCCAGTTGGGGTCCATCAGTCTGGGAAATGCTGCAGGTGCCCAAGTGTAGACCAGAACTCTTGGGGCCAAATGCCTTTGAGAAGTCAGAATTGTACTTTAATAAAGTACTGAGGTCCGCATGATACCCTTGTCACTGGTTACAGCCTCCCAGGTCCAACACAGGTCCCTCATGTCTTTGGAGAAACACATAAGATAAATAAAAATAGAAAGTGACTTCATGTAGGCTAGGAAGATTTTGCTACCACCTATATGTTACAGAAAAATCTTGTTTTTTTTTTTTTTTTCAATTTTTAAAATTTAGTGATTCCACAGGAGGCCTAGTGGGTAGATATTATCATTGCTTGGACGGTAATGTTTAGCAGGAGCGTGGGAAAAGGTCATAGAACCCTGGAGGGTGGCGGTAGTTTGAAAAATCCACAGTTTGTTTTTATATGCTCACCCCTGGAATGGAGGAACCTGGGTGTGATTGGTCAGGAGCCTGATCCCATCATCGCTAGAGCAGTTGGATTTGGTTCTGAATACCATCTTAATGCAAGGGATACAAACTGCTGTTCCATGAAAAACACCAGATTATTCTGAATGTCACATGTCAGTAAGGCCCCAGACTCTTCTCATGTGTTTTGTTTAAATTGACCCTTTTAGACTATTAAATGATTTTGGTTGTGTATTTTGAAATTCTGTGATTTATGAAGAAATTGTTTTCATTTAAGAGTCATCAAATGATATTAACCATGCAGTTTAGGCCAGTAGTTGTCATTTATTCTTAGAATAATTAACTCAGCGTTTCAGTAATCCTGATAAGGCTGAACTGAACGTTCTGTTACTAAACAAAACATCTGTTGGCTCTTTGTAAGTTAAAAAAGTGAGTTACTCTGTAGTGGTTCTCAACCTTCCTAATGCCACGGCCCTTTAATATAGTTCCTGTGGGTCGAGACCCACAGAACCGCTGGTTTAAGGAGACCCTTTTTTAGAATGACAATAGGGGCGGAGCCAAGATGGCGAACTACAGCCAGCTTTTTACAGAAGCTCCCGTCCAGAAGGAGGCTGAAAGGATAGAATGAGAATAGGATATTTCTTTTTTTTTTTTTTAATTAAGTCCTCTGTACATAGATCATAAATATATTTATGCTATTATGGGATTCAATGTGTTGATTATTTGTACAAATTGGAGTGCTTATATCCTACTAATCAATACAGCCTTCACCTCATTTGCCCAATTACAGCATTACAACATTTGTGTTCTACACCTGATAGATCCAACTTGTACTTGCAATATGCTCCATAGGTGTGGTTCCCCTATTAACCCTCCCTCTATTGACCCACCCCACTCCCTTCCCCTTCCCTCCTTCATTCTAGGCTATTTTCATATACAAGAGTGAGTGATTATAAATTGGTTTCACAGTAGTACTGAGTACATTGGATATTTTTTTTTCCATTCCTGAGATACTTTACTAAGAAGAATATTTTGCAATAAAGATATTTGCACCAGATTATTCATTGCAGCTCACTTCATAATAGCCAAGTCATGGAAGAAGCCCAAGTGCCCATCGACCCATGAATGGATTAATAAATTGTGGTATATGTACACCATGGAATACTATGCAGCATTAACTTTACCTCTTTTATGTTTATGTGGATGGAGTTGAGAATAGGATATTTCAAAAAGAGAATTCATTGGTTCAGAAATTCAGGCCTCTGGCAGCTACATCAAAGTCACCTTGTTTCATGTGTAAATCTCTGCCCCTCATTACTCCTGTCTTACAGGTGCTCACAGCAGATAAGGACCATATTCCCCAGGAACTTCCTTCTGCCTGGGTTGTTGATTTGTGATTGCTGCTGCCTGCTGTGCAGACTTGTTTAGGGGTGGTTTTTTTGTTTGTTTGTTTTTATTTTTATTTTTTGGTCCTGCTTTGACACCAGTATTCTGCCTGCCCTATTTCCTATTGTGGGGCAAACTGGACTTTTTCATCTTTTTGTTAATAGTATTATTAGGATGTAACTCACATATTGAAAACATTACCATTTTTAAGAATACAATTCTGTAGTTTTAGTATATTCACAGTGTTGGGCAGCCCTTACCACTATCTAACCCCATAGTATTTCCCCCTATGTGGAAACCCTATACCTGTTAATCACCCCCATCTCTTCTATTTTAACTGGTAATTACCATGATATTTTGTCACTGGGCCTATTGTAATGGCCTATCATAAGAGCTCATTTGCCAGGTAACACCTCTGCTTGGTTGGATTTTTTACTCTTTATTTAGGAAAATGGACAAAAATCCATTCAGAGTAACTGTCCTTCTAGCAGTAGGAAGGGAAAGCCATTTTGATTTTTCAGTTTCAGTAGAGGCAGATTGTGTATTCCAAAGCAATTGCAGACTCTTAGCAATGAATTTGGAGAAAGTAAAATTAATTAAGAATGGGATTGATCTTAAAGTAGAGGCTTCTTTGTATAAGTAAAATACTTAAGAGTTTTATAAATACTTTGAATAAAATCCTCAATAAGGGTAATGATACAGCTTCCAAAATGGTGGAATAAAATACTAAAACAAAACTTAAATTTTGCTTTAAGGTGGTAGCATTTTGAGTACTCGCTGTTCTGAAACTTATGAAACCAAAACGGCGCTAATAAGTCTGTTTGGAATCCCACTATGGTACTTCTCTCAGTCCCCGCGAGTTGTCATCCAGGTGAGTGGACACCTACCCACAGGGCTGCACTTGGCTCCCACCTCTGCCACCTGGTGGAGGAGGCCCTCAAGCACAGGCAAAGTGCTGGTTGTGCCCAATTTACGGATGCATTTCCTTAGCTTTTGATCAAGATACATAAATATATAGAAAGTATACAGATTATAAGTATATAGCTCAGTGAAATTTCTTAAAATGAACACCTGTGAAACTAGCATCAGTATAGGAATCAGCTTTCCCAGTATCATGAGGCTTTCTGACACATCCAGTGGCATCTGGACTGGGGTTAGGGTTATCATGAATGGGTCCTGCTTCAACGTGAGCTTCACATGGGTGGAATCACAGTGTCATCCTCATGCTGTTGAGTTTCTCTCTGTCATGTTTGTGAGATTATTCACCGTGCTCTGGGTAGTTACTCATGTTCATAGCTGGTTGGTCTTATGTTGTGAGTTGTGCTATCTCAGTTTTCTAAAGAGTGGGAGTGGGTAGAGATGAGCATTAGTCAGAGTCCTTTGGGAACTCTCCTCGTCCTGGGACCTCAGCTCTCCTTCTGGGCCAGTGTTGATTGTTCTCCCTGCACAATGCTGCTTTCCTGGGACTTTAATTTTTACTCTTGGTTTTATAAGCTCAGAGGACTAATGGACGGAGAATTTAAATGGTCAGATACATTTATTTTGCCTTAGTGCTAAACTGCTGCCTAATAATCTGGGCATTTTTTGAAGAAAATTAAAACATAGTAGCACCTCCATAGTTGACTGCCTCCCTACCCTGGCCACTTCCTTAAGTTGACATACTTTTTATAGACTGGACATGCGCCCCATGTATGTATCAGTACAGTAGGACTAGTTCCTTATATAGACCACGTCCATGTGTTGACCAGATTGTTATAGTCCCTCGGGTGATTAACTTACAGAGGTTTTACTGTAATTCTTTTTATGTGAACATCTACCTAAGCTGTTTTTTTACTTAAAAAACACCAGTCCAGGCTGTGCGCAGTGGCTCATGCCTGTAATCCCAGCACTTGGGAAGACTGAGGTAGGAGGATTGCTTGAGGCCAGGAGTTTGAGACCAGCCTCAGCACAAAGTGAGACCCCATCTCTAGAAAAAATAAAATAGAAAAACTGGCCAGGCTTAGTAGTGTGTACCTGTAGTCTCAGCTATCCAGGAAGCTGAGGCAGGAAGATCTCTTGAAATTGAGGAGCCCAAGAGTTTGTGGCTGCAATGAGCTATTATGGCACCATCACACTCTAGCCTGGGCAACAGAGTGAGACCCTATCTGAAAATAATAAATACCACACTCCAGTTTTAAAGAATTCATGATGTAAGTTGTTCCTTAAGTATCAGCAAACCTAAAATCTAGGATCCTTTGCAAATGTCTTAGTAATTATTTTATCTCTGTGGTTGCTCTGGTTGAAGTACTAGACACATGTAACTCTTTGGCTTCCCTGTAGTCATCTCTAGTAAGGATCAGCCTGTGAGCTTGTGCTTGGCAGCCTCTGTAGAATTGTTCTTCCCTGAAGACAGTGGAATACACTGGCAGTGCACCATGCAGCTGCCTTTCTTTCATACCAGTTTGTAGGCACCACCGGTGTAGGCGGTCACATGGCAAGGCCAACAGGACACTTCTTTGGCATTGCCTCCTGCTCCTGGCCATAACCAAGTCCTCAAAGACCTTGGTGTTCTTGACATACCCCAGATGCTGCACAAGTGCACAATGCTGTTGCTCTCACACTGCTGAGAGCTGATGATAGCGTAGTGAGTGCTCTAGGTGTTTTAGATGTATGTAAGGGAGAGAGTGGGACAGTTCCAGAGTGGGAGAACTAGAGTGGGAAACGTTTAGTATAAAGAACTATTAGATAGAACGGGATTGGAGTAACAAGTGATTGGCTACTGGGAAGTAAAGAGAATTTTCAAAGAATGTTGGAATGGCAGATGTGAGGACCAGCTACCACCCCAGGACTGAAGTGAAACACTTGTAAGTGTCCCTTGCTTTGCCCAGGGGTGAGGTCCCGAGAGGACATGCCACAGCTTGCTGGACAGCAGGAAAGATTCTTGCTGCTTGCTGGTAGATCCTGCCAGAAACCCATGAGAGGCATTCTGCTGCACAACTCCCAGGAGGGGCGCCTTGGTGTTCCTCCTGCACCCTACATTGACAAAGACTCCCCAGCTCCATTTTCACAAGGCAGGCTAACAGGATGGATTTGGGCCAAAGAGGCAATAAATAGATAGATACCTGGCACAAGGGAGAAAACAAAATGTATACAGGCATGCCATTCACCTTTTTCTCTATAAAACACAGATAAACATGCATATGTCACTGGATCTCACAAGGGTGGGCTGCTTTGCTCCCGCCTTGTCCCCTGGCTATAGCCACTGCTCTGGTCCATAGCCTGTTTCACTTGTCCCCATTCGTGGGCTCATGACTCTTCTTCTCCTATCCACAAGGACTCCTATGATAGTATCCTTCTGCCTCTTCCCAGTTGCACATTTTGTGCTTTAATGAGCAACGAGAATGTGTGTTTTTTTACAGCACAACCACATGCTCTGTCAAACTTTTGGATTACTGTCACTCTAATGCATGAGAACTGGTGGTTACATCTTATTTTAATTTGAATTTTCTTATTTATTGTATAAGGCGCAGAGCATCTTTTCATATGTTTCATATTTTTGAAGTGTGTTTTTGTGTCTTGCCTATTTTTCTTTGTGGTTCTGGTTATCTTAACTTTCATAAAACTTAGGTAGTAGAGATAATGACTTTTGAGATCTAAATTACAAATGCTTTTTCCTAGTTTGTCTTCTGATAAAGTGGTTAAGAGCTTGTTCAAACTCTTGCTCTGGCATTTCATTTTGCTTTTTCCTAGCCTGACATGTACCCAGGTAACTGCTGGGCATTCAAAGGCTCCCAGGGCTACCTGGTGGTGAGGCTCTCGATGGTAATCCACCCAACTGCTGTCACTCTGGAGCACATACCAAAAACGCTGTCACCAACCGGCAATATCACCAGCGCCCCCAAGGACTTTGCAGTATATGTGAGTGCATTTTGTTGAGCTTTTCCTCCCATCCCTTTCTGGGAATTCCCAAAGGCAAATGTCATCACAGCATGCCACCCTGCTGCCCTCTAATACTCACTATATTTCCAGGAAGAGTAAATTATAAATAGTATATTGATTGATGTCCAATTTGTGTATATTACTAAACTGAAGAAGCTATATGTGCCTGGCTTTGAGAATTTTGTTGATCACTTTTTTTTAATTGTTGGGGATTCATTGAGGGTACAAGATACTAGGTTACACTGATTGCATTTGTTAGGTAAAGTCCATCTTATACTTCTGTCTTGCCCCCAAAAGATGTGTCACACAACGAGACCCCACCCGCCCTTCCCTTTCCCTTCTCCCAACCCCCTCTCTCCTTCCCTCTTTCTGTTCTTCCTTTCTCTCACCCCTCCCTCCTCCTCTCTGCTCTCACCTTCCCCCACCCCCCTATTGATCATTTTTGTCTAGTCACCTATAGAGGATGTTCGGACAACTGTGTGATGTTGAAGCAGCTGAATGACAAATGATAAAGTAAACTGTTTTCTTATTCTTAGTATTTATAGAAACAATGAAATTAAGAAGACCCATAATCCTAGCACTTACAGAAAGTTACCATTAATACCGTGGCACATTTTGGTGTCTTTATTTTCCCCTTTAAAAAATACAATTAACCTACCTGGACAATGAGACACTATCTCTATTAAGAAAAAATTAACTGGCTTGGCGCCTATAGCTCAACCGGCTAAGGCGCCAGCCACGTACACCTAAGGTGGCGGGTTCGAATCCCCAGCCCGGACCCGCCAAACAACAATGACGGCTGCAACCAAAAAACAGCCGGGCGTTGTGGCGGGCGCCTGTGGTCCCAGCTACTTGGGAGGCGGAGGCAGGAGACTCGCTTGAGCCCAGGAGTTAGAGGTTGCTGTGAGCTGTAATGCCACGGCACTCTACCCAGGGGGACAGCTTGAGGCTCTGTCTCAAAAAAAAAAGAAAAAATTAACTAGATGCAGTGGTGGGCACCTGTAGTCCCAATTACTCAGGAGGCTGAGGCAGGAGATTGCTTAAATCCAGGAGTTGGAGGCTCTGTGACTTGTGATGATACCACTGTACTAGCTTGGGTGATAAGAGTGTGCCCTGTCTCAAAAAGAAAAAAAAATACGACTCAGACAATACTGTCCATAAAAATTCATTTTCTGCCTTAAAAGAAAAAAAGTTTTATCATAAGTATTTTTGTGCAGCAGTTGAAATCTTTTCGGACATCTTTAAATTGCATAAAATGCCATTATGCAGCTGAACTCCCACCTGATGGATTCTCCTGTTGAATGTTTAGATTTTCCACTTTTCAATACAAGTGCGGCATCTTCCCATCTGCAGTTATTTCTGTAGACTAGATACTCAGCAGTGGTATCACGGTGTCAGGGGCATCAAGGTTTCCTGGTGTGTGGGACTAGCCATTTCCACAGCAGAATTGAACAGTGTGCTCACTTCAATTCCTCTCTAAGAAGGAAGCCCTCTTTTTTAATTTCTGCTAACTTGACAGCAGAAAAATAGTCTTTTATTTTAATGTGTATCTTTCTGTATTTCACATGCCTGTTTCCTTTTTTTATAAATTCTGGTCTTGTTTTTGTTCATTTATCTTTCTGGATCTTAGGAATCTTTTCCTTATGAATATTTGAGCTTTTAAAAAGTGTAAATTATGTCATTCTGTTATAGCTGTACTTCCATTGTCAATTAATTAATTAATTTATAGACAGAGTCTCACTTTGTCACCCTGGGTAGAGTGCTGTGGCATCATAGCTCACAGCAACCTTAAACTCTTGGGCTTGAGCGATCCTCTAAAATAGCTGGGACTACAGGTGCCTGCCACAATGCCTGGCTATTTTTTAGAGACTGGATCTCACTTAGAGACTTGCTCAGACTGGTCTCAAACTCCTGAGTTCAGGCAGTCCACCCTCTTCAGCCTCCCAGAGCCATTGTCACTTTTAATTGTATACCTAGTTACATCTACTCACTACCTGTAATTTCTTCCCTGGCACTTCTTATATCTAAACAGCATTTTCCTATTATGAAATAGACATTCAAATAATCCCCAGTATTTTCTATTCATTCTTTTATTATGATAAAATACAATAAAATTTACATTTTAACCATTTAAGTGGCATTATGTACAGTCCCATTGTTGTGCAGCCATTGCCCCCACCCGTCTCTGGAGCTTTTTTGTCTTCCTAGACTGGGTCTATGTCCCCATGAGATAACACTCTCCTGTGCCCTCTCCTTAGACTCATACCCTCACCACCACCCCCTTTACTGTCTCCCTATCTCTGAGTCTGCCTTCCCTGGCAGAATTGTTCTGCTGGTGAGCTTTCCCTGCTCGCAGGTTTGTCCGGGGGGCAGCAGTAGGCCGGCAGAGTCTGCAGTCATACACTGTCTGTTTTCTAATGCTGGCTAGTGTGACTTCTCTTAGCCTGGGTTTTCCTATTCTATGTAGTGGGAGGGGTCTTACTTACCTGGGCGGTTGTTGTGATTATGTAACGCTCTGAACAGAATGCCCACCCTTCCAGTTTGAAGGCCTTATCACCATGGTGTGGTGAGGTGATCTTCCCTGACTCAAATTGTGGGGAAATAGTTGTAAGTAGCTCAGTGTGGCTTTCCTGTTATTTGATGATTATGTTTTGGTTCCAGGGATTGGAAAATGAATATCAAGAGGAAGGGTGGCTTCTGGGACAGTTCACATATGATCATGAAGGAGAGCCTCTGCAAATGTTCCATGTGCTGGTAAGGACCACAGGCATCTCTCTTCCCTGAGGCCCCTGAGTCCCCTGGTAGCAGCCCCTGCTAGTGTTTGAAAGCATGCAGATCAGTCTTTGATAAAAGTTAATCTGAGCTTTCTAGCTTTGCTTTTCTTTGGAACAAGCCTTTTAATGAGCTATGCATAGATGTCTTATTTTTTGAAACTGAAAATAATGAGTTCTTAAGAGTTTTATCCAAGCTTCATGTCCTGTGATAGATTACTTGTAAAATTTTCATATCAAAAAAATGTAATTTACAACTTTGCTACTTCCTAGCAAACATCATAGTTGAGGAGGTGATTTGGCTTGGAGTTATTAATATGATATACATGTGTTTTCTTCCCCCTCAATTTCAGGAAAGACCTGACAGAGCTTTCCAAGTTGTGGAACTTCGGATTTTCTCTAACTGGGGCCATCCTGAATATACCTGTCTGTATCGGTTCAGAGTTCATGGACAGCCTGTCAAGTAAAAACACTACTTAACTATTTTTGTATATTTTTGTATATACCAGGACAGCCTGAAACACTGGAATCCTTCATGGGTGAAGGCATATATAACAGGACAGTGTCACCGTTTAAATAAATGTTACTACCTACCAGCAGGAGGATGTGAAAATTTAAGTGACAAATGCTCTGATGTCCAACTTGTCCACTGAAACTGCATGTTGAGTGTGTTGTGTCTGTAAAGATTGTCAGCAGCAGAGGAAATTCGTTTGATTACACAGTTGTCATACATACATTGTTTCTGAACATAAAGCTCTTTGTTTGTATTAACATCAGGAATGAAGCAAATGAAGGCTTAACATGACTCTTCTGGAGTATTTTTGGAGGGCAGATCTTTCTTCTGTTATATCTAACACGTTTCTTTCAGGGAAAAACAATGCCACCAAATTTTCGGTTCTAAACGTCTTTCCTTCAGGATGGGATTTTCCTTTATTCAGCGCCAGTAGTCAATAAGTCCTGGGTGGGAAAATGACAGAAATGGCTTTTCTGCTTACTTTGCTCTTACTTCTGAGAAAGATTTTCAGACAGGACTCATTATCCTAGTATCTGTAAAGAAATATGGAAGAGTTTCATTCTTGTAGGTCAAAGAGAGTCTTGATTTTAAAGGGGAGGTTTAGATCTAAATGCAAATGGAACTCTTGATCTCACCTAAGTTCTTCCCATTGGGATGCACATGTGAATAGGAACCAGGAAATCTTGTCTTGGGTGTTTGGGGGTTTTGAGTTTTGCTGAAAAGGGAACACTACAATGCTCTAAGTCTTTCAGAGGCTGTACTTTATTCTGCTGATGCTTTTCAAAGGGGTTGTCCAGGGTGGCAAATTTGTGAAACCATCACATTTCAGGATCATGGTTTTTCCTACAACAGCACTTTTTCCTGGCTGCAGTTGGAATTTGCCTTTTATTACAACTGTTGGGCATTCTCAGTCTATTCTTGTGAGACCCTTTTTGGTTATAATTAGTATTTCATATTTAGACTGTTCTAGTGAGCGGACTTTATAAATGAGGTATCTGCAAGGAACTTCAAGTGTTAACAGATGTTTTATCTTAAGAATAATTTAAGTTCTATTGGGTTGACAGTTTTTGGTGTACCGTAAATATTGTATTTCCAGAAAAACATAAAATGATGGTGCTGACTGGTTTTCTGAAGAGTTTTATGTATATTGCACAACAGCCCTCAAATATACAAAACTACATATAGTAGCGTTTTTTTTTTTCATTCTCCTTAGAATTGGAACTATGCAGTTACAGTGGCTAAAATGTGTACAGATGTTTCATATATTACAAGTTACGTATGTAAATGAAAATTTCCTATAAAAAACAAATTCTGGAGTTGGGGTGGAAATATTTTGAATATTAATTTATTTTTAAAGATGCAAGATAGGACTTTGTGCAATGTATTTTTGTAAATGCTTTTCCAAATATTTGTCTTTGGTAGTGCTTCTTTTGCTGCCACCAAATTGATAATATGCTATTAAGATGTTTAAATAAAGAGTTTTAATTTTTAAAAGTGCATGTGATATTTCCAATGAATAATAAACAGTGTATTTCTTTTCTCAGTTTGTGGGATGGATGGTAGTGGTCCTATGCCCCGAGGGTCACAGGGTGTGAGTGTTGTGTGGTGGTGGGGTGAGGTGGGGCTGGTAGGCCTAGGAGCAAGGAGGGAGTCCTGGAGGATGCGGCGATAGGACGGCTAGAGCTTGGCTTTTTTTTTTTTTTTTTTTTTTTTTGAGACAGAGCCTCAAGCTGTCCCCCTGGGTAGAGTGCCATGGCATCACAGCTCACAGCAACCTCCAACTCCTGGGCTCAAGCGAGTCTCCTGCCTCAGCCTCCCAAGTAGCTGGGACTACAGGCGCTCGCCACAACGCTTGGCTATTTTTTGGTTGCAGCCATCATTGTTGTTTGGCGGACCGGGCTGGATTCGAACCGGCCAGCTCACGTGTATGTGGCTGGCGCCTTAGCTGTTTGAGCCACAGGCGCCGAGCCTAGAGCTTGGCTTTCCCGGGAACTGCCCTCAGTATCTCACTCGCCAGAACGTCCCGGCAGCCCCGCAGCTACCTCCCAGCGGTCAGGTGCCGGCGCCGCCCTCCCTTGGGCACGTGGACCACGGCGGGGACGTTGGAGTCGCCCCATTGTTTCCTGTTCCAGATTTTAAGATGCCTGCCGGAGGCCTAAGAAAGGAAGGGCTTTCTCCGCGGAGTCCAGACGCGCCTAGATACCTACACCACGCGGGGACCGGGGTGCTCCTGCAGCGTCAGTGTCCCCTCGAGCCCACGGCCGCCACCATTGTGGCGTCAGCGGAAGTCCCGCCCCGGATCACGTGCCGCACGCCGGCGCGCTCACTCCCCGACTGCGTGGTTCCTCGCGGCCACCGTAAAGGGCGTCGAGCGGCCGCCGGGACGGAAGCCGGGAGGTGCTGCCGACCGCGCCTGCGATAGCGTCAGCCCCGCGCGGAGCGCCGGCCTGATGGCGGCGGCGGCGATGGCTGAACAGGAGGGCGCCCGGAATGGCGCCCGCAACCGCGGCGGCGTCCAGCGCGTGGAGGGCAAGCTACGTGCCAGCGTGGAGAAGGGCGACTACTACGAGGCGCACCAGATGTACCGGACCCTCTTCTTCAGGTACAGCGGTGCCCGCTCCCCGCCTCGGCCCGGCCGGCGGCCCGCCTCCCGCTGCCTTCCATTGGCCACGCTGTCTCTCCCCGCGCCTCCATTGGTCCGCGCCGCTGCCTGTCGCGGAGGCCGAGTCGGAGCCAGCGTCCGCGGAGCCGAGGGCTCTGGCTTCCCCAGCCCGGCCTCGGCCTGACCTGTTCTTCCCCTCTCAGCCTCGCCCCCACTCTCCATTCTCAGTCTCCTTCTTCCCGGCCCTCCCCTGCCTTTCCCCGGCCTCTGGTCCCCAACCCCACCCCCCCGACTCCCTCCACTCCAGGTCCCCTCTCTGGCTCCTTCTTCCCGGCCCACCTCTCTCTACTCTCTTTCGCTGCCTCTACCCTCTCCGGCCTTTCCTCCCCAGCCTGCGCCTTCTCCAATCTCAGGTAGACTCCGGAACCCCACGGAAGTCTCAGGCTTCCTCCCTCTAAGGATCTCGTCGTGAGGGTTTAAAACTTTCTTTTATGTCGCCCCTGCGCACCCCGTGTTTTGTTTCGCTACTAAATGAGCCTTTTTCGTGGCGGTGGTATTTCTGCGATGCTGCTGGCGCGTGGAAATGATGTCCCGAATGGGTCGATCCGGCGCCCTTTCTGCCGTGGCTGCAGCGGGCCAGCTTGGCTGGCTTCGGGCTGTGATATTCCGTGTTTGTCAGTTTTCAGTTCTCTGTGACATTCCTGCATATTATGCATATTCGCTGATCCGTTAGGGTTCGTGCCAGGAAACAGTTTGGGAGTGACTAGATCTTGGACGTGTGTTGAAGATATAATTTCAGAGAATTTAATCTGTTCTGTGGAGTACCTTTTATTTCTAAACTGCTACAAAACAGGCAATGTTTTGGTGTAATATTTAAACGGCAGTTGATCTGGTCTTTACACAGTTTATTTTTTGTTTTTAACAAAAGGCTTTAGTTTTTAGAGCGGTTTTAGGTTCACAGCAAAATTGAAGAGAAAGTACAGCGTTTCCCACATCCCTTGCCCAGCATCCCTCCTGCCCAAGTGGTGCATTTTTTACAGTCAGTGAGCCCACGTTGACACATCATAATTCCCTAAGCTCATGATTCACATTCAAGTTTGTTCTTGGTGCTCAAAAGTCCTCTGTTAGACCTAGATTTTACATTTTTCTTTACATAGGAAATTGAATCATTGTCTTGAGAATGCTGGAGATATTTCTGCCTTGGTTGTAGTTTACTAATTTGTATTTGGATTAATGCTACCTGTGCGTGGAAACAGGTTCCAGGGTAAGGTGGTGACTTGGTTAAGTGGCAAAGCAAGTGGTGACATGGGCATGACCAGTCCCCAGGTATGTAATGGATACCAGAATCATTCTTAAAATACTCACCTATGCTTGGAAAAGCAAAGTGTCCTAGCTGACTTGACAGGTTTGGGATGAGGCCCTGGTGTCTGTTCCTACAGATGATCTGTGCAGCCAAGGTTAGGAACTCTGGATGTAGAGTGCCTGACTACAGCCTCATGGAGAGGGATTAGTCACTGCTCTGAGTCCTGAGTGACCTGAAGGGTTGCCTTGGCTCCAGAACTTTCTGGGCAGTAATTCCTTACATCGTGTATACAAACCAATCAGGCTACATCCAGCTTTATCATTGTGTTATAATTGGTTTAGAAAGAGATTTGCTTTTCTTTTTAGTTAGAAACTACGTATTTAAGTTTACCTGTGGCAGAAACAAGTCCTTAAGGTATTATGTTTATAGTGGTATAAGGTGTTTTTTTTTTTAATTTGGAGACAAAGTCTCAAGCTGTCACCCTTAATAGAGTACTGTGGTGTCATAACTCAACAGCAGCCTCCAACTCTTGGGGTCAAGTCATCCTCTTTCCTTTTTTTTTTTTTTTCCCCCTTCTATTTTTAGTAGAGACAGGGTCTGGCTTTTGCTCAGGCTGGTCTTGAACTTGTGTACTCAGTCTATCCACCTGCCTTGGCCTCCCAGAGTACTAGGATTACAGGCATGAACCACCACGCCTGGCCTATAGTGGTGAGTTTTAGTGTTAGTTGAATTTGTCACTGAATATTAACAACTTCCGAAAGGGCCGGAATCATTATAATCCCTGAAACCTGACTGTTCTATCAGGAACAGGTAAAGACAGAAGCAGTGAGCCTTCTAGTTGTAGGTTGGCCAGTTGTGAATCTGTGTAGTGGAGAGTTGGCCTGATGCTTGCTGTTCATGAAGTTGTGTATATAAATATTTGCCCAGTGATTACTCAGCAAAAGTGAATCTTCCCTAAAATAAACATGATGTTCCTTGTTTGCAACCAGTTCTGCTCTGATAAGGGATTTGATTGTTAATTTAGCTTTTAAGTGAGTCTTCAAGTGGAGGGAGTATTTCTTAGTGAAAGGGGGGCAGTAATGATCTGCACCCTCCAGAGTGTGAAGGAGGTAAAGAGTCTGCACAGGGAAGGGCTTAGCACTGCTCACTCCTCTCCTGGAACCTGGGGCCCCAACATACTGCACCTCTTCAAGCCAAGAACCAGGTTTCCTTGGCAGTGCCACCTAGGAGGTTCCTGCGATAGGGTGCCACTGCAGTTAGTTTTCCTCACCCCTTGAAACCACTAGTTAGCTCTCTGTCATTTAGAATTAATTGCATTTCCTAGAATTGTAGGTAAGTGGGATGACAGTATGTGCCCCTTTTTTGTCTTTTTAAATTCATTCAGTATGATTATTTTGAAGTTCATCTATGTGTTCAACTATGTATTTATAGTTCTTTTCTGTTGCTGAGTAGTAATCCATTGTGTGCCTCCATCACAATTTGTTTATCTGTTCAGCTATTGGATAAATTCACCAACTGTTTTAACTTGCTTATGTCTCACAGCAGTTGAGGGTGGAGGAGAGGGAGGAACTGGGCAACTCAGCAGGTTGGTCTGGGTTGGGGGATGTCTTGCAGAGGTCAAGTATTAGCTCCTGGTGCACCTGGTTTTTCAGAGGTGGTTAAGACAGTGTTCACTGTTGTCTCCTGGGTGGTTCTGGTTAGGGTAGGTCACCTTGTCTCTATAGATGTCTCTGCCAGGACGGAGAGGTAGTCTGTTTTTCAGGCCTGTTGGATGATTGGCACGTGAAGTCAGTAAATCTCTGTGGCTTTGGGATAACTTTGCTGGAGTGGCTTTGGTGCCCCCATCTGGCCTTGTGGGTCCTCAGTGTTGGCAGCGGTATTTGCGGATTTACTTTTAAAAATTTGGTGTGGTTGAGAGCCCAGCCCAGGTGACAGTGATCACAGTGTCCACCATTAGAACTGCTGGTCCTGACGTTTACCCTCCACTCGCTACCCCAGTTCCACAGTGTTCCTGTAGCCTCCACACTACCTGCCCTTTCACCTCTCAGAAAGTAAATCTTCCTGCCATGTGATTCTCCCTGAGATTTGTTTAAGTTGATTGGGTTTTTTTGTTTGTTTTTTGAGACAGAGTCTCACCAGGGCACCCTTAGTAGAGTGCTGTGGCCTTACAGCTCACAGCAACCTCAAACTCTTGGGCTTTAGTGATTCTCTTGCTTCAGCCTCCCAAGTAGCTGGGACTACAGGTGCCCACCACAACACCCAGCTATTTTTTGTTGCAGTTGTCATTGTTGTTTAGCTGGCCCAGGCCGGGATCAAACCCGCCACACCGTGTATGTGGCTGGTGCTGTAACCACTGTGCTAAGGGTGCCAAGCCTGTTTAAGTTGATTGTTACAGCTTGAAACCTATTTTGTCTCTTAAGTCATGTAAAGAAATTAAAAAAAAAAGACGCCTTACTCAGTGTGTCCTGCACATGCCTCAGTCCAGTGGCTGAGATAAACATTTTCCTAATGAAGCTGCTGCAGCACAGGCAGCTGCGCTTCGTCAGTTCAGGTGTAGTCTTTGGAGTGACTTTCTGAAGCAGAGGGGCCCCCAGTCCTTTCCGAACCCAGACACCAGCAGCCCTGTCCAGGTGTGCGGTGCTTTTATTGTGAAATCTGTAGCTGTCACTTGTCTTCAGACTGTGCTGTGGTGTCTTCAGTGTGCCCTCCAGTCTCCCTGGTGGGTTTGCCACACAGCTGGCTTCCCACAGCAAGAGTGACAGGCTAGGGGTTTGCCTTGGTTCTGTCATCTTCTGACCCACACAGTTTTAATCACTAGTATTAATTCTTCCGTTTCTGTGTTCTGCTTGTGTGTGAGAAAGAGAAATAAGAGCAAAGTAAACTGTAACATTTGCACAGACACATTGCCCTTTGGAGAAAGATGTTGCTACCATAAGCCTGTTTTTGACTGGCAGCACCAACACAAACCAACTCGGAATATCCTTCATCCACAGATAACAACAAAAAAGTTCTATTTCAATGTATAAAGGTTGATTTGGGGTGTTTGTGTGAAGTATTCCGCAGCGTGCAGCCTACAGCCCTCAGGCTCTGTGGATGGGTTGGGGGGTAGACCTGGGTTCTGCTCCAGCCACTCTCAAGTCTCCCATGGCCTAGTCACCAGAAACAGAGACTCTAGCTCTGAATCCTCAGCGGAAGAGAAGCCCATTGTTCTCATATTCACCTTAGACTATTCTCTTACCTGCTGTCCTGGATTGTAACACAGGCAATTTTCACTGGGTGTGGCCCTTCCTTCTCTCCCCTGAATGAGCCCACTGCTGCCTGGACGGAGGCTGGCTGGCTACTGGGGCCTGGTGGTTCCCAGGATGGCTGAGGGATATGTTGCCATAATTGTCACCTATACCCCTTGAAATCAGGCTCCCTTATCCCAGGAATTTGGGATATCTGCCTTTCAAGTTCTTTCTTCTTCATTTGGTTCTCTAAAGGGTTCTTACTATACCTTAGATAGAAAAGTCTAGAACTCTGTAGTATTACAAATAAGCAGAAACAAGTTGCCATGGTTACCATGTAAGGTAAATGCATACAGTTCTGTAAACCCATGCAGATGGCAGCATGAGGCTGTATGCTGGTGAGTATTTGTTTTTCCAGAACATCCTGCTGCCATGCTAAGTATCAGCCATGTGAAAGAGCTCAGAGATTCTGCAGGGTGGCTCCTGGCACCCCAGTATGAGAATCAGGATGGCTGAGAAATAATAAATGGCATCTTTTCTTAGGGTGTTGTATTTTACCTCCTGGTGGCTGCCCTCAGAATGTAGCTAGATGGGGTCTCCTGTTGAGGACCTGTTTGCCAAGCTAATGAGATTCCCCTAAAGTGTCTGGTTGTGGTGCCTTTTTGAAGAAAAGGCCTTTCCTATGGTTAATAGAACAACCAACATTCGTATTCTCTGTTGGCCTGCTAAGTTGCATCTCCCAGACTTGAGCCATCTCTGGGTTTCTGTGTCTTTTTTTCTTTCTTTTCTTTCTTCTCTTTCTTTTCCTTCTTTCTTTCTTGACAGTCTATGTTGCCCTCAGTAGAGTACTATGGTGTCATAGCTCACAGCAATTGGGCTTAAGTGATTCTCTTGCCTCAGCCTCCCAAGTAGCTGGGACTACAGGCACCCACCACAACACCCAGCTATTTTTTTGTTGCGGTTGTCATTGTTGTTTAACAGGCCCTAGCTGGGTTTGCACCCACCAGCCCCAGTATATGTGGCCGGTGCCCTAACCATTGAGCTACGGGCACCGAGCCCTGTGTCTTTATTTTACCTGCACTGCTGTTTACTTAATACTTTTCTTTGAACTGATTTGTTTTTAAACATAGCTCTATCCAGTTCCACACTTATAGCTCAGCTGCTAGGGTGCCGGCCACGTACACTGGAGCTGCCGGGTTCAAACCCAACCAAGGCCTGCCAAACAACAATAACAACTACAACAAAAAAATAGCCGGGCGTTGTGGTGGATGCCTGTAGTTCCAGCTACTTTGGAGGCTGAGGCAAGAGAATCGCTTAAGCCCCAGAGTTTGAGATTGCTATGAGCTGTGACACCATGGCATTCTACCAAGGGCGACATAGTGAGACTCTGTCTCAAAAAAAAGCAAAAAAGTCATAGCTCTATCCAAGGAAATTTTGGCTCAGGAACACGGAGTTGATAGGCTAATTATATTTTTTTGCTAATATGGAGATTAAGATTGGGAGGTCTGGCCCATCCCAGCTGCCTCATGACATTTTGTCAGAGGCAGGCAGACCCACCAGCCCCACCTGTGTCCAGCCAGGCTCTGCGTTTCTGCCCCTGTACTTTCTTGGTTTCACAGGGGGTGATGCCTGCTCCCTAGGTGTGGCACAGGTGAAGGCACATGTCCTGGGGTAAAAGTATATGGAGTTTAGTGGGAGAAAAGGAGGTGTGGTCACAGTTGTCTCCAGGAAGACCCCATCCTGGGACATCTCCAATGTACATACAATTCCTCTGCCCCTTCTTGGAGCACCTGCCACCAAGACAAGGCCTGTCTTAAAGATGGAGGTCATGTCCTGCCTGGTCCCTTCTGGTGAAACCTGTCTGGGGCTGCTCAAGGGAGGGGCTGCTGTCTGGTTCCAGGACTGATGGGGCCTGGGTGGCCCTAACACGCACTGAGTTTCAGGTGGGTCTGCTGATCCTGTCAAGACTTGAGCTTAAGAGAGTAGGGAACCTTTGCATTCAGAGGTGCTCCATGTAGCCCTTGAGGTCAGGAGGAGGTGGGCCTCAATAGGACGGCTGGATAGACTCGCCTTCTCGTGGAGCTCATGTGCTTCAGGAGGAGCCTGATGGAAGGTGTACACCTGTAATAGGGATGTTTATGCTTATGAAGCTCTCACTTCACGTTCCCCTATGTACCTGATCTTCAATATCTAACCTCCAATGCCATACTGGTCTTAGTAAGCATGTTCTTGCTAGAGAGTGTCCTGTGTCCTTGGGCTGTTGCAGCTCACAGCTTTTCTCATTGCAGATACATGTCCCAGGGCAAACATGTTGAAGCCCGAGAGCTCATGTACTCAGGAGCGCTGCTGTTCTTCAGCCATGGCCAAGTAAGTCCTCAACTCTTTCCTATGTGTCCTGCTGTGGACAGGAGAGTTGAAGTCACCCTGACAGGGGAGAGGCCTGATGGATGGTGCCAGGCTATCCTTGGCTCTGGCCATTTTGACCACAGGTGGTGGCAGAGGGTGCTGGTGTTCCCAACTGCAGACTCTTCACTCTTGAGGGCCTTTCACTATAGGCTCCTCACTGCTGGGGCTCAGCACCATGTTTGAGGGCAATGGGTGCTGTGTGTGTGTTGTTTTGGTGTAAATAAGTCCTGTCCATTCTTGTTTGGTCCTTGGCCAGGAGTTCTTAGTTATTCTAAGTGACACTTAGAATAGCTCAGAACAGATTTTCTTGGCTTTAGTTTGTTCACAGGCTTCTGTCTAGAAAACTGAAGCTGCTACCCAGCTTTATCTTATCCGTTCTACATAAATCAGAGCTTTGTTCTTAACGGTGTGATTCTTTGCTTAAATGTTTTGTAGCAAAATAGTGCTGCGGACTTGTCCATGCTGGTCCTGGAGTCCCTGGAGAAGGCGGAGGTGGACGTGGCAGATGATCTGCTGGGTGAGGGCCTGTGGTGGTGCCACCATGCTGGGCACAGGGGACCTTGGCACCTGGCCACACTCCTCCCTGCTCTCTGATGTGGCGCCTTCGAGTCTCTTCCCTCCATTCCATGTCTACACTTTGGGATCTCTGTGTGTAGAGGTTGATTTTACTGCAGAGGCACCTGCTACCCAGTTGCAAGGAGCCACGCCCCACAGGCAGCCCCACTCTGGGCACCCATGAGATACCCTGTGCTTTGTGGTGGGTGGGGTGTAGGCATTGGCTCCTGCCCAGCCGTGCTGTCTGCCCAGTAGTTGGCATGTGGGTGCCTTGTTTCTGGAAGCTGGGCTGTCCGACTGGTAAGCATGTAGTTGGCCGAGCCCTTGTGAGCTGGGAGGTGGAGGAAGGCCCTGGACCCAGCTGATGCTCTTGTCCTCAGGCCCTGCTCCTCCAGGGTAGCTTCCCACCAGGCTACCCTTCTTTGTTGTGCTCTATGGCACATAGCACCGGCTTTGCCACAGAGAGGTCAGCTGAGGGTGGCTCTGGAGCCCAGGTACATCTACCAATATACCGGCTCTTTTCAAGTTGAATAACTGGTTTTGATTCATGTGTGTAAGATGTACAATACAAAGAACTGGAGTAGTTGTGTTTCTTTTGGATGACAGTCTGTTTGTGTTGTTTTCAGAAAATCTGGCTAAAGTGTTTAGTTTGATGGATCCCAATTCTCCAGAGCGAGTGGCCTTTGTGTCTAGAGCCCTGAAGTGGTCCAGTGGAGGCTCTGGGAAGCTGGGCCACCCCCGGCTCCACCAGCTGCTGGCCCTCACCCTATGGAAAGGTAGGCCTGGGGAGCTTGGGAGGTGTCAAGGGCTCTGCCTTCACAGGGCTGGGCAGGCAGTAAGCAGCTACCATTCTGCACTCCTGGAGCTATTGTCCCATTGTCCATACTGATCTATGGACATCCTCCACACAACTCCTGAGGACAGGTTCTGCCACCCTTTCATAAGTCACCCTTGTTCAAGGACAGCCCGAAGGAGGTGATAGGGGGCAGCCACAGTTGACTTGGCCCCTTCATCTTCTTGGCTTCTGCCTGGGGTGCCCCCTCCCTTCCAGGCGATGTTCACACACTCAGTAGACATCCATGGCCCTGGGACTTGGTGCTGATCTGACTAGTGCTTTATTGGTCCTCACTGGTTATCTCATTTTCTGATTAAGCATTTGTGGGGATTATTTAGTCCATGTAGGTGGGGACCATGGAGGGTTAGCTTAGTGTGGTTGATATTTTTAGCTCCAAGTCTGCTGCTCAGGTACTGGGAAAGGTGTTCAATAAACCTTGGTTGAGTGACATGTTCATTAGGGTTGAAAAGCCTTTCTTCCGGGGTGGTTGCCTCGGGAAGTATACGCCATGAGATCATCTCATGTTCCTCTGCAGGCCTTGCTGGTCCTGCCGAGTGCTCTAGGGGGTAAGCATGGGTGGGGTGGTCCCACTGCCGTTTAGGCATCTGGTGGATGGGGTGAGGTGGAGTGGTGCTGTGCAGGTGCCCCATGGGGGTAAGCCACTGTGGGGTGAAGGGCACCCACTTTGAAGTTCTGGGAGTTAGGAAACTCTAGGCTGGAGGTGAACAGGCTCTGAGAGAGAAGTTCTTAGATGCAGCTGTTCCAACAAGTGACAAAAGTGGATGGAAGTGTGTGTGTCCTCTTTTTTTTTGAGGCAATCTCACTTTGTCACACTCAGTAAAGCACCCTGGCGTCAGCTTCCTGCAATCTCAAACTCTTGGGCTTAAGTGATTCTTTTGCCTTACTCTCCCAAGTAGCTGGGACTATAGGCACCCACTGCAATGCCTGGCTATTTTTTTTAAAGATAGGGTCTTGCTCTTGCTCAGGCTGGTCTTGAACTTGTGAGCTCAAGCATTCCACCCACCTTGGCCTCCTAGAGTGCTAGAATTATAGGCACGAGCCACTGTGCCCTGCCATGTATGTGTGTTTTCTGCAGGTGTGCAACCCCAAGGTCCACTCTTTCCCTCCCCTCATCCACCCTTCAGACTAATGCTAGGTTCTTGGCAGGCACCAGGCCCTTGTTGATACTGAGAACACAAAGCCTTTGCACCCCTGGGCCTCATCTCTCACACCCTCCACCTGCCAGGGACTGCCCACTGGGTGGGCCAAGTATTTAGGAAGAGGGGACTGAGAGGCTTCTCCTTGCTCTCTTCTGTGATGGGGGCTCTGTTCCCCTGACACATGTCATGCTTTCCCTGCCTTCACCCCAGAGCCATGTGAATAGGAGTTAGTCAGGTCTAAGTAGAATTAAAAGGCCGGAAAGTTAAGAGAAACTCTTTGGAGGCATCTGATTGAGTTGATTTCCTGAGGTTACCATGTTTATCAGAAGAGTGGCTCATGCCCAAGAGTGCAGCTTACCTGTGCCTCCCTGTGAACACCATCCCTGGCCATCCATGACCCCCCAGGAGCAGGGGTCATGATCTGTGTGTCTACACCACCTTTGCATTTTCTAGGATGCAAATTATACTCAGTGCTCTGAGGGGGCCATAGGGCTTATAATGGCCACTGTAGTTATTTCCATATTGTTCTCATGTGGAGGCCCTGAAACCAAAAGGCTATACTTTGGGCCGGGCACGATGGCTCATGCCTATTAATCTAGCACTCTGGGAGGCCGAGGCGGGTGGATTGCTTTAGCTTACTAGTTTGAGACCAGCCTGACCAAAAAGACCCTATCTCTACTAAAAATAGAAAAACAGAGGCAAGAGGATCACTTGAGCCCGGGTTGGAGGTTGCTGTGAGCTATGACACTATGGTACTCTACCCAGGGTGACAGCTTGAGTCTCTGTCTCAAAAAAAAAAAAAAGAGGGTTATTAGGAAGTACAGGGAGACACAAACAGAAGGTAGCAAACAACAGAATCACGACTCCACGTCACTCAAGACTGCCCTGAACCTGTACCAGGGCCCTGGCCACTTGTGTAAGACAAAGCTCCTGGAGCAGGGGGCAGGACGGGTGGGGTCGGGGAATCAAGGTTACATCCAGATCTGGAGGATTAGAGGATGGGATGGGCCAGGCTAGCATAGATGTGGGGATAGCCCAGCAGTGCAGCATGGTTCTTTCAGCAGGTGTGAGGTTTGACAGGGTGTCACTCAGGGGTCTTGTCTGTCTTCCAAGGGTCTGTGGCTAAAGGAGAATCTTAGACTTGTTCTTGCTGTTAATATAAGGTTCAAGGTGTTATTTTGGCAGAGACTGAGATATTAGGATTTCCTGTCATGTTTCTCCGTATGAAATTGCCATTTGAGTAGGTCAAAAATAACAATATTAGCAGTTTTTGTGGTTTGATCTAATGTATGCATAAATATGGGTAGGACTTATAGCCTCATTAGCATATAAAGGTGAGTTCTTCAGTTGGTGACTACCCTGCCCTCTCTTGCTGTTTGGTGCTTTGAGCAAGCGGTCATTAGTGAGTGTTCACCACAAGCTGCCTTGAGTGGGCAGTGGGTCCACTTGTCCCCATGTCCTTACACTGGACTCTTAGCACAGGCAGGATGGGCAGGACAGAATGAATGCAGCTCAGGCAGAGTTATAGGAAAATGCATTTCCTCACGTTTCTCTTAGTATATATTATATTCAAGATATGTCCATGTTTAAAGTTTTCTTTTTATCCCTTTGCAGAACAAAACTATTGTGAATCTCGGTATCACTTCCTACACTCTACTGACGGAGAAGGCTGTGCCAACATGTTGGTGGAGTACTCCACCTCCAGGGGCTTCCGTAGCGAGGTGGACATGTTTGTCGCCCAGGCTGTCCTACAGTAGGTGTTCAGTGTATACCTTGCAGAATCTCTGCCTACAGAAGGTTACTGTCTTTTAAGATGTGTGGGGGGTGAACCTTGAGTTCACTCTGGGCACAACACAGACGTGGCCACATCAAGACTGACTAATACTTGTTAGTAAATTTAATAGATTTTAAGAAGTGTTTTGGAATATGCAGTGAACATGTTTTCCAAGACCATGTTTGTCTTTACAGATGTTTCTATGAGTCTAAACTACTTAGTACAAGGCAGGACCTCTACCTACTGTGCCCCACACCAGTTCTGGTTGACCCTGTAAAGTTAGACCTTTCTTATTTTCCTTTCTCACAATTATCATCTTGAAATACTGAAACATACATCAAGGTTCATGGAGCTGTTAGTGAACATCTGCACCACCTGACTCTCCCACCGGTGTACCCCGAGGTGTGGTGCATGCGGGGTGCATGGGTCCCAGTGGCCAGCTGCCTGCACTCCTGGGCGTTCAGCTTGCTCCAGACTTACCCTCTCCTTCTAATGAAAACTGTTCACATGTGGTCATGTCGATTTCCCTTCTACAAAAGAAGCCTTGATTTGGGAAGTGGGCACCTGTGCCTGCTGTGTCTGGCAGACTGCACAGCTGCAAGGCTCTGCCGCAGAGCTTACATCTGTGACTTAAAAATGTAAATGTTTAAACTCTAACTCACTGGCTTTGTGGCATATGGTGCAGGTTTTTGCTCTGAAGCCCTAACCCCTTTCTTTGGCCCCCTGGCACTGCCCCTGAGTAGTATCCTTGGCTTAGCAGGAGCTGGGGTGTATCCCAGCACTTCACCCAATGTCAGGTCTGGGGGCTGAGTGTTCTCATGCAGGCAGGTGTAAGGGAAATGAAGGTTTCAGTTCCGTGACTCGGGGACACAATTTCAGCTCTGGCCCCACCGTTCATAGCTCTCTTGACCCTTGATGGGCCTGTCACCTTCCTAGGCTTAGAACTCTTCATCTCTAAATTGCAAAATTTCTGTAGTGTTGCCCTGAAGATGTCTGTATGAAGTACAGGCCAGGCCCTCAGTGCACAGGGCTGGAGGTCCTGTGTGGGCACAAACTTGGGAAGGACCTTATCCTGGGCTGGTGTGTGGCAGCTGTGGTGCTGAGGCCCTCTGTACCTGTGGCGGCTGCCTTTAGCATTTCCACTCACTAGAATATTCTTACTTCTAGGTTTCTCTGTTTAAAAAACAAAAACAGTGCATCGGTGGTCTTCACAACATACACACAGAAGCACCCATCCATCGAGGATGGGCCTCCCTTCGTAGAGCCCCTGCTTAATTTCATTTGGTTTCTGCTGTTGGCTGTGGATGGGTAAATTTTATTTGCTCAGGGTGTACATGTGTGAGTTCGTGTGATGTGTGTGTACAGATGTGTGTGCTGTGCAGAAATGTAGAGTGTAGTGTGTGCCTGTATGTGTAGGTGCTACAGATGTGTGTATATGTATATGCATAGATTTGAGTGTATAGATTTGTGTGTATAGGTATGTGGATGTGTGCATGGATGTGAGTGTAGATGGATGTGCAGTGTGTGTGCACACGAGTGTGTGTATGTCTGTGCAGATACTGGGACGTGTGGTTTTCTTGTTTAGCCTTCTTTTTCATAAAAAGTAGGTCTGACTGTTTTCTTGTGCCCCAGTGGCAAGCTGACGGTGTTCACGGTGCTGTGTGAGCAGTATCAGCCATCTCTCAGGAGGGACCCCATGTACAATGAGGTGAGGGGCCCAGTGTGTTGGGCAGCTGGGAGGGAGGGTGGGAACCCCTCAAGTCTACGTGCTGTGCTGCCTTGAGCAGTTCTGGCATGTTCATCTCCTTGGGTGACCATATTGCCTGTGGCTCTTACAGTACCTGGACAGGATAGGACAGCTCTTCTTCGGGGTGCCACCCAAGCAGACGTCTTCCTATGGGGGCCTGCTAGGTAAGCTGCAAGTGGACGGTCTTCTGGGAGCTTACTCTGAAAGCTGCTTCCCTTTAAGTATAAAGTTTTACTTTTTCCTCTCCTGGTTTATCTGTGTGAGAGCCATTTTTGGTGCGGGTGGGGCTCCCTTCCTTGTCTCCCAAGGTCTGTGCTGATGCCCTGCGACTTGGCCATGCAGTGTTCCCATGTCCTCCCTGAATTCCCACATGCAGTTGGCCTTCATGGGGCACAGCCCCTGCCAGATGTGCTGGTGGCATTTCCACGCATGTCCGCCTCCATCTCCCAGCATCACTATTTGTTGGGAGTGTTCTGATTCTGTGCTTGTCTGTTTTTCCGTCAGAACTTAAGAGCAAGCTTTTCCGTTTCCCCCAGAAGTTCTCAGAATGTGTTTACTGGGATTGAATTAAAGTCACAGATAAGGAAGATGATACATCTTTTTGGCTGTGTCTTTCTATCCAAAGAACACTGTTTAACTTTTTGATTTGTTCTATCTCCTTCATGGTTTAGTTTAAAGGGAATTTTTGAACCTTTATTTTGTATTTGAGTAACAGTTATTCATTGGGTGAAAAATAGGTCAGTCATGACAACACCCACAGGTGACTACAGTTGGTATTATTTATAGCCTTTGAAGCTTTGCTGCTATACTTAATTTTTTATAATAAGAATATGCATAATAAGAATAATATGTATACGCTTTTTAGCTCTTTCTTTGGTTAAAAGTGATATTTCTGTGCTTATTTTGGATTCTCCTGTGGCTATACCCTGGCCCCTGTCAATGGATATTTCCCTGAAGTCATGCAGCAAGACCTTCTTGCATTTCTTTGTGATCATCAGCTCTGTGTTGTCCAGAGAGTCCCCTCCAGGGTTCCTGATTTGCAGGTACCCCTGCAACATGCTGGCATGGCTGTGCACTCATTGTGGGAAGACGGGGCTGGCCTGGGCTAACCAGAGAGCTAGCATCTGCCACCTCGGTGTGTCTCCTTCCAGGGAACCTCCTCAGCAGCCTCATGGGCTCCTCAGAACAGGAGGAAGGAGAGGACAGCCCTGATGACAGCAGCCCCATCGAGCTAGACTGATGCTGCCCTGGCCTGCACAGAGACACCACAGTCCACAGCTCGAGATGGTTGCAGATGGAGTCCCAGAACGTGACTCCTCACACCCACAGGCTCCTGGCTCTGAGGCTGGCAGTAGCTGCGTGTGCGGTGTCTGTCTCTATTTATGTGTGGTGGCTGAGGGCGGCATGGCCTGCCTGTCGCTGTGGCTGGGACCCGAGAGAGGCCCTGGGCTTCTGCCGTGTTCCCTGGAGATTGACCCACAATAAAGCACAGGCCTTGCTGCCGCGTCACCCTCTCCCAGTCCTTTGTTTCTGGTTCCTTTGGGGAGGGCCAAGGGGTGACACAGGAGGCCTGTCCTCAGGGACTGGGCAATTGCAGTTGGCGTTTCTAGCACCTGGTATCCAGAGCAGCCCATGGGAGGCTGGAGACGGCAGTGGCCACTCAGGCACATGAACCCAGCTGGGCCTTCTGTGATCTTCAAACTTGAGCCGTTTTCTTTTTTATCTTGTTTCTGTTTGAACACGGGGTGGCTCTGTAATCCTGGTGTGCTTGTCCCTGTTGCAGATAAGCTCATTCGTGCTGTGCGTCATCTTGGGAGGTGGGCAAGTGGTTGGCCAAGCCAGTGCCCATGTGGTACTTGAGGCTGTGGCCCAGCCCACTGGGGTCTGGTGTGGATCCTGAAGCCACATTCTGCTGGTCTCTGTGAGCACCAAGTTGCTGCTCTAGAAATGCTGTTTTATAAAAAGGGATGCCACAGGACTTTCATGATGCAATATTCATTTGTATTGGGTGATTGATCCTTTGACCTAACATTAGGTTTTAACCAAATAAGCAGTCCAGGAATTAGCAAATCTGTCCTTTATCATTGATGCTATTCCAGATGTTATCAGTATAATTATAAGATGGGAAACATTTTATTTTTTCACGATATAAAGTGAAAGTTGTAGATTAATATGCAGTGATCATGTGTGGGCTGGAGGGAGATGTGCGACTTTACTCACTGTAAAAATGAAATTTAAAGGAAGGTTTGTGTCAACTGTGGATCATAAATAAATCCTTTATACTGGGCTTTGGAGCACTGGTCCTTTCTGAATAGCTCTGGGGCTAGTTTCGGGTCTGCCCTGTGGGTCTTAGGCTGATTTCCACATGCCAGTGTGGGGGCCTCAGGCAGGGCTGGGCTGCAGAGCACTGAGGGGTGTCCCAAGGACTGAGCAGGAGGACTTGTGAGGCCTACAAGGAGGGGTGGTCTGTGACCAGTGTTTCCTGGGTCTGTCTAGGATGTCATGCATGGGTTGGGGTGTGCAACTGTGTTCTGGAGGCCTGAGCACCTCCTGTGACTTTAGGAATAAGCATACTTGTGTAATTGTGTTGGAATCCGCAAAATCAAATCCACTAGGTTGTGGGTGTCCTAGCTTCAAAGAACTTAGCTCTTAAGTTGCAGGAGGTGGGCTGTGCTTTCGTGCTGGAGCCCCCAACCCATTGTAGTCACTGAGGGAGAGGCCTGGGGAGTTCTCAAAAGGGCAGTGTGGGGCCCTGGGGGAGTGGCACCACATTCTACTTTAACCCAGTGTGATCGCTCCATTCAGGAACAATTTGAGCAGAGTGTGAATTTGGGGGGTGTGCAGTTTTGCTCAGGACTAACAGTAAGTGGAAAAAGCCAACCAATTGGAGCCATGCACCCCTGTGCTATGCCATCCCACCCATCCAGGTAACATTTCTCCCTCAGGTAACATTTCTCCCTCAGTGGCACATGTCACACTCACTTCCACACACAAACCTCAAGACTTGCCAAGGTGCAGTACTGTGTGTGTTGTGCATCTGTGTGCTTGTGACCATCTAACTCAGGAGACGAGGCCAGGTGTGATGGCTCACACCTGTAATCCTAGCACTCTGGGAGGCTGAGGTGGGCTGATTGCCTGAGCCTGTGAGTTCGAGACCAGCCCGAGCCAGACCTTGTCTTAAAAATAACCAGGCATGGGGCGGCACCTATGGCTCAGTGGGTAGGGTGCTGGCCCCATATACCAAGGGTGGCAGGTTCAAACCCGGCCCGGGCCAAACTGCAACAAAAAATGGCTGGGCGTTGTGGCAGGCACCTGTAGTCCCAGCTACTTGGGAGGCTGAGGCAAGAAATCACATAAGCCCAGGAGTTGGAGGTTGCTATGAGCTGTGTGACAGCGTGGTTACTCTACCGAGGGCGATAAAGTAAGACTGTCTCTACAAAAACAAACAAAAGGAGCCAGGCATTGTGGTGGGTGCCTATAGTCCCAGCTACTTGGGAGGCTGAGGCAAGAGGATCACTTAAGCCCAAGAGTTTGAAGTTGCCTTGAGCTGTGACGCCACGGCACTCTGAGGGCAAAAAAGTGAGACTCTGTTTCAAAAAAAACAAAAACCTTGGGAGATGCTAACACTGATGTCATCAGTGATGGGGTTGCATTCCCCAAAGCCCTGTGGTCCAGGCTATGGTGCTGTACAGTGAATGGCATCTGGCAGTGGCCCAGATACCACCAGCAGCCCAGCCAGCTCTCCATTGACCCCTGCCAAGGGTCCTCTCATAATCCAAGTGACTGACCTTTTATAGGTTGCAAGTTTTCTGCCTGTTTAAAAAATTCTTCCCTATTAGAAAGTTGGTTTTTTTGTTATTTCCTTTTAAAATGTTCTGATTGTCAGTGTCCTTGGTAGAATGCACAGTGCATGCGCATGCATACATGCACTCACACACCAACATACATACCAGGCATGCATGCACACACAGCCTAGCTCTCACACGTGCACTCCAGTGTGTGTACATATGTATACACACACGGAAGCAGGCAGGCTGTGTGTCCTCACTTCTATGGTGGAAGGTGGGTCTAGGTCAGCACAAGAGGGCCATGGGCAGGGCTGACCTACACGGTAAGGTAAATCCAGGGGCACCCAGATTCTCACATCTGATCCAGGACTGAACCTCTTGCCTCTGGGGCCTGAGAGCGGTAGTGGATGGTGGCGGTTGGCAAGGCCAGGCCCTTAGCTGTCCCTAAGGGCCAGGGTGAGCCCCCAGCCTCTCTTGGGTGTGGGGTCACCTGCCTGGGACCTCTGTTCTCTGGAAGTGAGTGGAGGTGAGGACCCTGCCCCCGTCCTGCCACCTTGGGAACCTCAGGCAGGGGTTGGGTGACATCTGCCTCACTTAAGTGGATTCAGTGTGTTCTCTGGGAGCTCATGAGGCATGGCCCTGTGCACTGACCCAGGCTGGGGCAGACCTCACCAGAGCCCTCTGTGCTAGGCTGGTCTTGTCTCCCAGGTTGAGGGTGGAGGTGAGGTAAGGGCTTCGGACCCCAGGGCAGGTATGAACAGAGTGGCTCCCCCACGCATGACAAGCTCAGACCCACTGCAAATGTGCTCGATGCTCCAGGACCAGCCGGCAGCACGAGGCCCTCTTGCAGGGTACCAGCACCCTATCTGCACCCCACCCCCACCCCCAGCTGACACGCAATTTCTCCTATGTCAGTTTCTGCCCAGGTGGAGGCAGCCAGGGCAGGACCATGTGTTCCCAGCTTGGCCCCCTTTGACCCCAGCCTCAGACACACAGCCGGGAACACGCCAGAGCCATACTTTATTCCAGGCTGCAGCAGGGATGGCAGGGTGCCCAGCCTTGGGAACCCTCCCAGCTTATCCAGGGCTCCCCTCGGACACAGCTCAGCTGGGCAGGGCTGGAGGGATGGGCCACTGGGTCACCCGCAGGAGCATCCCCACCTTGTCTGCGCAGACAGCCAGGACCTATACTGTATGGCACCTCCCACCCACGGGGACCCAGCCCCAGTCTGGACTGCTGGACGCGTCCCAGGAGGAGCAGGTGAGAAATAAATAGAAGGGCTGTAACCACTGGCCCGCCAGCAGCAAGCCAGATGTCCAGGTGGGGGTGGGCTGGGCTGTTGGGCCTCTCCTGCCATGGGCAGCCTCATGGTGGCTCAGGCCATCATCCTCAAAGGGTTCAAAGGCCACAAGGTCAGGGCCAGTGGGCAGGGGTTGCTGGTCAGTGAGCACCTAACTGGGCACATGGGAGACACCCAGCAAACAACAAGGCTGCTGGGTACCCACAGGCAGCACCCGGCTGACCCTCCAGGGCAGGAGCACAGGGGCTCCAGCCACTGGGGCCAGGACCTAAGCACGCCATTCCTTCTGCCTGGAAAACTGCACCCATGGGGTCAGTTCCACCCTAACCCTGACCCACTAGGTGCTCAATAAATACTAGCTGAGGGTAGAAGTGGGGAGGAGGGTCTGAGCCGGGGGGTTGGGCTGGGTAGGGCAGAACTAGGCGGGTCAGGGCTCAGCATGCGGGCAGGTCCAAGAGTCCTGGCCAGGCCAGCCTCACCACCTGCTGACCACAATGGCCTGACCATCCTGGTAATGGGGTTCCTACCCTGGAGCCTAGAAGTACAAGACAGGTGGCTTGGAGCTAGTTGGAGCTCCTGGGGGCTGCCCTGAGCTGGGAGGGGCCTCATGGGCAGAGAGAGGAGTAGGTGGGCTGGGCGTGGTTGGCAGCAGCATGATGGGGTCAGAGGTCAGGCCAGGCCCTGGGCTGAGGTGGCCTGCGATGAGGTTCCAGAGAAACATCCTAGTGACTGCAGCCCAGGCCTTACCTGGCCATGCCTGGGGCTGCCCAGAAGCAGGGTGGGGCTAGGACAGCTGGCCACCTCAGGATGCCGGTATCCCTCCTGAAGGCCTGAAGAAGACCTGAAGGTCCCCTGTGATCTGGCCACCTCCAAGCTCCTGTCTGGCTTAGTCATGTCACAATGAGTCCAGTGTCTTGGGCCTCCAGACCACTTCTTGCTAGGGTTTATGCTTGAAGTGGGCTTCCACTAGAAATGGGAACAATGTCCAGGCTTGTCACAACTTCAGGGGGAGCTCATTTCCAGGTGCCCCCTTTGGGCAGCCCTACTCCCACCCCTTACTTCCCTCTCACCTGCATACTCCTGGGGCAGCATGGGCCTGTCCACCACCTTCTGGAATGCTGCCACCCACTCCTGCTGCTCTGACTCTGTCTCACAGGTGAACAGGAACTTGCGGTCAGGCGTGACAATGGTGATGCCATGTGGCCAGTGGTAGCCCTGGGTGGATGGTGGGAGCCCATGCAGCACCGTGTAGCCGCTCTCCTTGCTACCAATGAAGACTTCCCCTCTGGCAAAGGCATCCTGCAGGCAGGACCAGGTGGCAATGGGGCCGGGTCCCAGGCGGGACCTATCAGCCAAGCTGCTGTACCCCATAGGTGACAGAGGGCAGCTGCATGCTGGTGTGGACTGCTCTGGGCTGCATCCCTCCCTTACCAGCGGGTCTTTGAAGTACATTAGCCTCCGGTCATCCATGGTGAACCATCGTTTCCGGAAGCCTTCTGTTTGCTGTGGGTCAGAGAGGGCCAGTGACCAGCTGGCCAGCTTGAAACAGGGTCCTGCTCCCAGTGATCACATGTGCCTCCCAGGCCCCATTGGTCCTGCTTTGTCCACGCCAGTGTAGGAGGGACATTTGCACATGCTGTTCCTCCTGCTTGTATGACCTTCCCTCCACTCTACCCTGCCACTCTCCTAGTGGGCCCCTCTGTGCCTGCACTGCCCACCCCCTAGGGTTCTGGGATTTTTGTCCCCCCACACACAGCAGGGAATGATAGAAAGGCATGATGTGACCCCAACTCAAAGTCCAGGATAGTGGTCCTACTTCAGCAGGGACCCAGCTGGGTACAGACAAGGGGCTGCAAGGACCAACCTGAAGCTCACCTGCTATTACAAATGTTTTGGGGGTCAGGGCTGCCACAGCCAGATGGCCAGCTTAGAAAAACACTCAGGTGGCACCCAAGAAGGCCACTCAAGACTCTCCACAGCACACCCCATGTTCCATCCCAGGGTGGCCTGGGCCCAAGTAACAGAACAAGCAGAAAAGAGGTTTTGCTGCCAGGCCACAGCCCCACTGCGCACGCCCTGCACACCCACCTTGGGCCCTGTCTTTTCCATGTAGCCTTCCTTCAGGTAGTTCCTGGAGAGCTTTGGCACCAGCTGGGTGGAAACTCAAGTCAGGTGGGGCTGGTGAGGCACCTAGGCTGGTCCCTTAGAAGCTGCCTCAGCCTCCCCCAAGAGCCCCTTCAGGCTATGCCCCCTCCCAGAAAGAGGCTGCGGGTGGGGCCCAGTCTCCCTCCCCTGTCTCCCACCTCTTTCCACTCCCTCTCTGTTGTAGCTGAGCTAAAATGCCCAGATTGCTGGAGCAGGAGAGGGCCACTCCCGAGTGGGTCTCAGCCTGTCTCCCAACCCACCACAGGGCTCAAAGTCATCCTATACTAGGGGGCAGGCATTTGGGCTGAGATGTCTACCTCCCTTGGCCCCCACCCCAGGAGGGGAGCAGGGCAGCTACTCACATCTGCATCACTTGCTCCGGGGAACGCCACCTGCAGGTAGTGGAAGCGGGCAGCTCGAATAGCGTTGAACCAATCCACAATCTCCTAGGAGTCAGAGGCTGGCATGGGCCATGGGCCAAGGGGGTCCATGAGCCAGGGCACCCCAAGGAAGGGTGATTCCCCTCACCCCACCCCCTGCCTTCTCAGACACCAGCAAGGGAGTCCATAGGCTGGGCACAGCAGGGGTGCTGATGTCCCACACAGCCCCACAATTCTTTCAGATTGAGCTTTTCCAGATCCTTGTTCTGTGGCTGTGCAGGTCTTGGGGTGGAGGGAAGAGGGAGGCTCATCTATTTGTAACCTGCTTAGAGCTGGTGGTGGTGGAAATGCTCTCCAGAGAGAAGGTGTTGGGGGTTGGTGGGCCGAGGCCGTAGCCCTGGCCTGCAGGACCCCTCTCTATCCTTCCAGCTCCACTGTGGGAGCCCTCAAATCTCCAAACTCAGCCCTGCTGTTGTTGCCCCAGACCAGTGCCCATCCCAGGTCTGTCCAGCAGAAGGGCCTGGTCCCTCCCATCCTGGTCAGCCTGGAGTCTGGAGCCCCTGGTTGGGCCCCAGTCCCCACCTGTCAGTTCAGCCTCTCTTGGTCACTGTACTCCAGAGTCAGAGATCCTAGCAGCCCACAAGCTGCCCCACCTCATCCCCCAGCCCCTTCCTCCCTTGTATTTTGTCACAGCCCTGGAGGAAGGCGGCCATGGTCATGGTCACTGCCCACTCTGCCCTGTGGCCTCTACCCAAGAGTTCACTCCATAGGCCCTACCCCCTCCACTTTGGCCGTCCCCTTCAACAATGTGAATGAAGCATGCTGAACCCACCATCCTTGGCCACAGAGCCCATGGCCTCCTGCCCTGCCCTGCCCTCCCAACCCTCCATGCTTGTCCAGACCCATCCACCCTCTGCTACAGACTCTACCTCTTTAAGACTTCACAATGCTGGTGATACCCTCACTCTGTGAGTGTAATGGCTCACACTTACCCAGACCTTTGCAGTGGTTACTGTGGTGATACCCTTCCTGTGCATCAGCCCTCCACTGCAGTGATTACCACTCCCAAATCCTGCCCATGCTGTGCTTCCCCTTGGCTTTCAGGACACAGTTGTCTTCCCCTGGGGTCCCTCCAGCTACCCTGGTATGAGCCAACACTCTAATTCCACCCTCTGCCCTGTTCTCACAGATTCAACCTAAGACCTCTCCCTCTGCCCTGCTAGGAACCCAGCTCTCCCCACTGGTCTCCCAGGGCCCAGTGACCACCATCTCTGCAGCCATGCCTCTCACCTGCCCTCAGGCCTGACACCCTCACAGGCTTCCCCCACTGTGCCCCAGTGAAGGCGGAAGTCCTCTGTCCTGCAGGGCTGGGTGCCACCTTGAGAGTACTGTGCTGTGCTATTCCCTACCCACTTCCTTTCCTGCCCTGCTTCGCCTTTGCACATGGGTTTCCTCTCTCTGGAATGCTGTTCCCCCCCCAGGACTAGTGACCACTCTCACTGTGCCTCCCTTTCTTATACTCCTCACAGTGGGGGTTTGGTGGGGGTCTCGCATGTCTCGCATGTCCCCATGTTTCTGTGGCCACCCCTTTTGTCCCTAAGCTCAGTCACCTTTCAAGGAAAGGGAAGATGGAAGCTTTTGGATACAGCTGAAGACCTGCTCACACACCCTGAGCCAAGTTCCCTGCAGCGACCTGTTAGCACAATCTACAGGGCTGTTTTAAGGCCTAAACCCAGGAGATGGGAGAGAACTGCTATAAAGTGACTGTAGCAAACAAGTGGATATATGCGGAATGACCAAGCTGAATGCTAAGCTGAGAGAGGGCAAAGCTGAGATGGGTGTTCCCATCTGTACCACACAGCTCCCAAGGGCTTGGGCAGCTAGCTCTAGGTCCTCCATAGTGGGAGTCAGGGGCCCTGAGCAGGGGACCAGTGGAAATATGGCCCCTCCCTACCCCTTCAATCGCAGGAGACAGAGGTTCATTCTCCAGGGAAGGCAAGAGAGGCCTCTGCAGGTACAGTGTGTGGGCAGATAGGCACCACTTGGGGACGGTGATGGAACACAGACCATGTGCCTCTTCAGGGACAGTGATCCTGGGGACCACTGAATGCAGAGCTTCTTCCTCCTCTTGAGCCCCCACAGCACCAGGGCTCAAGTGTATCTGCACTGGTCAGTAGGAATTTCTCAGGGGAATCCAATCAGCCCCAGATCCCAGGATGTCTGTTTCACGTGGAAGACAGAGCAAATCTCACAAGACAGCTTAGCAACTTAGAAGAAATGAATGTTTTTCAGGGATAAGAAAGCTTCAAAAATTAACATTAATAATTAGAGATAAGATACTAAGTCATGAAACAAGAACAGTGCTTGAAAAAGGAACATGCCAAGGACACAAACAGGCTCTACACAATTAAAAATTTGAGAACAGAAAAGAAACCCTCAATAGGGCGGCACCTGTGGCTCAAAGGAGTAGGGTGCCAGCCCCATATACGGGAGGTGGTGGGTTCAAACCTGGCCCCGGCCAAAAAGAAAAACTGCAAAAAAAGAAACCCTCAATAGAAGACTCAGAAGACAAAGTTGAAGCAGTTTCTCAGAAAGTAGAGAAAAAAAGAAAAATAGGAATAGAAGGAAAACAAGAGAATGAGTCTAAAAGAACTGACATCTGAATAATAAAAGTTTCAGACACATGAGAATAGAGAAAGTAGAGGGAGGAAATTACTAAAGAAATAATTTAAGAAAATATCCAAAATACCCCCTGGTCTCACAGTTATGCGTTACTAAACTGGACGGGCCCAGCCAGTGACCCACACAACAGAGAACAGACCCAGGCCAAGGCACAGTGCCAGGAAACATAAAAACCTGAGACAAGCTTTCTGGGAGGGAGGGTCGGTGGTGCAAAGCCTTCAGAATTAGGAAGGACAACTAATTCCAACCCAGAATTCTACATCTAGCCATAGTCTAAATCAAGTGGAAGAAAGAACTTTCAGGCAACCTGCCCTGCAGGCGCCCCTCTCTGGGCCTGCTGATAGTTGTGCTTCACCACAAGGAAGACGCAATCCAATAAGATGAGGGCTCAGGAAGCAGGGATCCCCAGGAGCAAGATGGGCTGCAGGACAGATATCTCCAGATAGACATTAGCTAGGAGCCCTAGACATTAGCTAAGTGAGCACATGGTCAACTATGGGGGAAACACAAGTGTCAGCTCTCGGGAAAGTAACATGTGCACAGCACGGGAAAGTAGTTTGCTTGCTCTGCGGTCAGGTCTGACTGGCATTTTCACAGCCACGATAACATCAACCCTGAATACACACTGAGCACAGCCATGCAGGGCCACGGCCCCCACGTGGGCGGCACGGCTGGAGGGAGCGTGGCTCATCTTCCATATGGGCAGGCGTCAGATGGTGCCTAAAATGGACAAATCTGCAGCGCCACGCGCATGTTATTTATAAACATGGGACAAGTTCCCAAAAGGGGTTAGGAGGAGCCTCAAACTTCTGTTTCTCAGGACTTAACTATTTAACTCTTTAAGCCATGTGCATGTACACACTTGATAAAATGGAAATGAAAACCAAAGTGACAGGCCGTACACTGGCCCCTTAGTCTTGCACAAGGGCAAAGGACAGACTTTGGGGGAGTTTGGCTTGGGCCCTCCCTCCACCCTGGCCCTCTAGAGATGCTGGGTGTGAAAGTGGTAGGAGGGAGCAGGAGTGGGCACCAAGGGTTAAGCTGTCTCTCAGCAGAGCCAAAGGCGGCCAGAAGGACACACATAGGACCCCACAAACATGGGTCCTCTCGAAAGGGCCCGCTGAGGGCACGGGGTGCTGAGGGGTAGATGCCACTAAATGAGCTGGCAGCCCCCTTTGGTGGGGATGGCAACCTGGTTCCCGGGCATCCTAAGCCCCCACGACCCACCTTCCCATCTTCATGGTAGACAAAGATGTTCCGGGTGCTGTTGTCCTTCAGATAGGTGACCTGCAGGCCGTGGGCATGGCCAATCTTGGCCGGCTGGAATGTTGCATTGAGATGCTCGATCTTCATAACAGCCTTAGGCTCCTTGGCCTGAGAAGAAAGGTCTAGTCTGAGTACCAAGCAGGGGCCATTGTCCAACTTGAGGGAACAGAAAGGCTGGGCTCTGTGGATGGTGGAAGCACTTGACAGGCTATGTGGCTTTGAGCAAGTTACCTAACCTCTCTGAGCCTCGGCTTCTGGTCTGTAAGTCAAAAGTAAAGTACCTTTCTCCTGAGGATGGTGAAGACCCAGTGACATTGAGCAAGTGGGCAGACAGCCCCTTCTCTGCCCCTCCTGCAGATAGTTCTGCTGCCTCTGGGGCTCCTTCTGCCCCAGCTATCCTATCTGTACTGGCTGGCCTGGTGTCTGCTCCCTAGGTATGAAGCTTCCAGGCCACCATGCTGGGCCCCTCTGATGGGGTAGCCACGCTGTGAGCAGTGCCCCCACAGCTCAGAGAGTGGAGGCCACACACCCTTGGCAGTCCTAGGATGCCTTACTGAGACCCCCACTCTAGCCAGTATGCTTGCCCATCCCTGGATCACCTCTCCCAGGGCACCCTAGCCAAGTGGGAGTCTTTCCTTCCAGGGTCCAGTTGGCTCCACAGGATTGGGGGGGGGTAACAAGACTCCCTCTACCTCTCAGCTAGGCCTGAGTTTAGGGGGCTACCCAGGCTCTGGGAGATCCTCAGCCACTTCAGCACAGGAGCTGGCAGCCAGGGATCCAGTCCTGGGGGCCTAGGAGGCCTGAAGTTCCTGGAAAGTCCTAGTGGATCCTCATGGGGGTCCTGGAGGGCATTCAAGGGAAGTCCTCATGAGGGCCCTCCTGGGAGGTCGTATGGGGTCCTCACATGGGTACCTACAAAGGTTCTAGGGGGTCCTCACAGGAGTTCTGGGGGATTTTCATGGGGGTCCTCTTGGGGGGCTTCATGGGATGGTCCTCATAGGGGTCCTAGGGGGTCTTCATAGGGGTGGCCACATGGCCCCTGGGAATCCAGGAGGGCAGCTGGGACATGATAGGGAACCACCATAGGTTCCCAGCTGAAGGCCTGGATACTACCCTGGGGCCCCTACCCCACCCCATGCCTGGCTCACGTCACTTCTGTTGAAATACTTCAGGGCCCCCTCTCGTTCCGTCAGCACAAACTTCCGGCTTAAAAATTGCCCGTTGTCCCGGCCTCGCTTCCAGAGAAAGCCCTCACGGTACCCTGGGGGAGACAGGGGTCATGGTCAGACAGGTGGTAGACCAGGGCCAAGGGTGACTACCCCGACTCCCCAACACAGTCCGGCCTGGGGAGGGCCTGGGTGTGCAGGGTCCCAGCCAGCTACCCTCTGACTGCCTGATGTGCTGGAAAATAACCCAATGAACTGGCAGAGCCAGGTCTAACCCTGCCTGCCCCACCCTTTGCCTGACGGCCCACCATGTAGAAGTGCTGTGTGGCTCAGGCCAAGATCACCCACAGTCTTAGGGTGCCCAGGCTGCCTGCCACAAACTCTGGCCAACTGCTGCCGCTGGCTCTGTTCGGTGTACATGTGAAAGTGGGCCACAAGCCCCATCTTGAACTTTATGCTGCGCACACCCACGTGACTACCAGTGCTGAGCAGGATAACCCCAGGGGGTCTGCCTGGAGTCCACAGCACGTGGGCATGTTGCTTTCTGCAGCTAAAGGGATTCTGTGACTGAGAGTCTTGAGGTGGGAGACTCTGGCAGAGGGAGGAAGAGGGAGAACTGGGGATGGAAGGAGACATGTCAAAAACAACAGACTGAAGCAGTGCAACCCTACTGGAGCCGCCAGGCGCCAGCCCCTCGATGGCCCCACTGGGACTCATTTGGGAGCTCTGAGCTCCAGAACAGAGAATAAATGGGGACAATTTCAAGCCACTGAACTGTGGCCAAAGCTGTATGCACCGCTGCTCAGAGGGGCCCTTCCAGCCCCAGGCCCTCACCGCCTTCTGCCCCCAGCACCGTCTGGATGTCTACCACACTTGCACAGCCCCGTCAAATTCCTATCCTTTCACCTGTCCTGAAAGGACAAGTTACTTTGTGCTAAGCAGAATCAGGCACTTTGGGTTCTCTCTCAGGCCTGGCTGCTTCTGCTGCACAGCAAACTCATCCGTATGGCTGCATGTGCTGGCTGTGGCCCCTATTTGCCAGCTATGTCCAAGATCAGGTCATCATCTGCAGCTCTGCCCATTGTGCCTGGGTGTCTCCTCACAAGGGTTTCTGGGCCACACAGAAGGACCCAGGGGGTCAGCTGTCAGTGTGAGCTACTTTGAGGTGTGGGAGCTCCTGTGAGGGGTCATCAAGTGCTGTGCTGCTGACCTGTGACAGATGTGAGGGACAGGAAAAGTTGTCTGGACATGGGCAAGACCATTAGCATCAGCATGGGCTAGCACAGCTCCTGCCTGTCACTGTGGGCAAACACCAAGGCCAGAGTCACCTGGCCCTGACCACCACACCCGTCCATGCCCTAGTGCACCCTCCCCACTGCCCAGACAGCCCACTTCCACACCAGAGACAAGGGGCTATTTTCTCTACTCTCTGAGAGACATGGCCATAAAAAGGCTGCGGCCTGATGGCAGGGAGGGGCAGCTGGCACCATCAGGAACACGGCCTTTGTCTCAGGATGGGACCAGGTCAGGTCAGCTCCCTCCCAACTTGGAGGCCCTTGCACCCTTCAAGCCTGAAGGGCCTCTGGGCCCCCAGCACACAACAGCACTCAGACCACTTGAATGTTTGCTGACGGCGCGAGTGCTGGGCTGGGTGAAGCCAGGAAGTCCCCTGGCTCTTCCTTCAGCATCTGGGCCTCTGACTGGTGGCTTACTGGGCTGAGAGTGGATGCCAAGAAGTGCCAGGGATGGCATCTTCACAGATGCTGGTGTAATGACAGCTGCAGCAGCACGTCCTGGACACAGCAGGACCCGGGCAGGGGCCTCGTTCACACCCATTGAGTGTTTGAGAAAATAGCTCTGAGATGTGTGTACCTGTCCTGAGGTCACATGGCCAGCAAGGCTCCCCAGTGCACCCTGCCCAGCACCAGGCCCAGGGACACCCTGGGTGGGGATGCCTCCTGCCCCTGCAATGCCTAAAGGACCCAGCAGGTGGCAGCAGCGCCTCAAAAAGGGTGAAGGCCGCTAGGCCAGAGGGCCAGGCAGCCAGGCAGGTGGAGCTGTCACTGCCATCTCCATGAGAGCCCTAGGGATGGAGCATCCACTGGTGCAAAGAGCACAACTCATGAAGTGGCCTTATCAGTGCTTGCTCAGGCCACCTTTGAGCGTGAAGCCACAGGACAGAAAAGACACTCTTTTCAGCAAGCTGCTAGGTTGCCTAATTACTGGCCTGATGACAGACCACAGGAATAGTATTTTAGGAGGGCGCTGGCCTCACCCCAAGGTGTCCAGACCCATGTCAGGGCCTCTGCCTGGTGCCCACCCTCATTCTCACTTTGAAGGCCCAGGTGGTCGGCGTCTTCACCCTTCTGTGGCCTTGGGGGCTTATGGCCTTGGCTGCCCCTGGTGAGTTGGACATGCCTCAGGTTGACTGTGCCCAGGAGTGACTGTGTTCTCAGAAAGGACTGGCCAGTTGTGGGGCAGAGACTGGATGGCTTACTCAGCATTTACTGAATACCTACTGTGTGCCAGATCCACGCTCCATGAGCCCTGCCACAAAATGCCTGAAATGGTGCATGGAAAGATTCTCAGTACCATTAGTCATGATGTGATCCCATTGCAGGCCCACGGGAATGGCAAAACCAACTCAGACACAAGCACTGCCCACCCCAGGAGTGGGCAGAGGCGCAGGGCAGCTGGACTCTTCCCATTGCCAATGAGGATGCAGAGTGGCAGGATTCCCTGGGGAACACTGTAGTAGCTTCTTATAAAGTTACACTTATCACAGGACCGAAAAGCAGTGAAAATTCAAGGGGAATGAAAGCCACAATCCCGCGAAAGGTGGCACACGCTATGCAGAGTGGCTTCATGGGCCGTTGTCAGTGTGTGTGTGTGTGGTCAGAGAAGGACAAACAAACTGTGGCTCTCCCATGCATGGATTCCACTCTGCAGCCAAGGAATGGGGCACAGAGAGCAACCTGAGGACCCTCACCTGCACCATGCTAAGTTGGACCCCAAAACCCATGTGCTAAGCAGCTCCATCTAACAATATTCTGGAAAAGGCAAAACTATGGGGCCCAAAGCAGACAGTCACAAGGCTGGGGACTGACCACAAAGGCCACACACGGCCCAGGGGGTACCACAGAGGTGATGAAGCTCTTTCACGTATTGCATTTGCCACAGCTGGGGCAGCTATGCTCTAAATAGGACATGCAAAGTACATGTGAATTACACCACATGTATGTAATTAATGCATTATTTTATTTTAAACTAAGGCCGGGAGCCATAGGGGCCTCCTGTGGGGCTCACTGGGTGGTTGGCCAGGCTAGGCATTCCATGGCCAGGCCCTTCTTGTGGGCCTCCCACACATGGGAGATGAGCTTGCACTGTTTGCTGTCTCCTTCCCAGGGTGCCAGGGTGGAGGGGTGACCTCTGGGTGCACAGCCAGGGCCTGGAGACACCAAAGACACTAAGGCCCTGACCCCCATGCCTAGATGCCCCTGAAGGGCTGTGACCTGCTTCCAGGCCTCAGGTTCTAGCTGCTGCCTGAGCTCCAAATGATCAGCAGCAGGACACTACACTGTGCCTAGCAAGGCAGGGCTCCCAGTCTGCACCTCCTCTGGCATCTGCTCAGGGCCATACCAGCTCCCTGCCTGCTGCTTGGGCCACCCAGCTCTGTCCACCCCAGCTCTTGGGTCCCTGCTGACCCACTGATGTGCCTGCCAGGGCAGGGCCTCTGAACCACAACTAGTCAACAGAAGAGGCTGAAGACCCACAGCCTCACTCTCTGGAGGGTTCGTGGACCTAGCTACACTCTATTTGGTGTCTGCTCCCCGCACACACCAGAGCCCACACTGCCCACCTGCTGGCAGTGGGCACTGAACACCAAGAAAGAGAGGGGACGATGGCAGGAGGCCTAAGGTTCAGGGCATCTCTTCTAAGAGCTGGAGCGGAGGACAGTATCTAGGACCAAGGGGGCTGGGATGACTGTCCCCTCCCCACACTAGCCTGCTCGGGACTCCTGGGATGAAGGCAGGGGTCAGGGATGGTCATTCCCCCAAGGAGCAGGTCTGACCCGCAGGGCTACTCTCAGGGTGGGGAGCTCCAAGCTGAGCCCAGAGTGGGCTGTTCTCAGGCATCAAGATGCCACCATCCCTGGTCATTTGGCAAGAACTCCAGGTGTGTGATCGTGAGCACATGCACCCTCATCCATCCTCCATTCACTCATTTGTTCAACAGCCTGGCCAGCAGTAACCTGCAAGAGGGACCTGCAGGGCAGCTCTGAGCTGGATCCCTGTCACTCGGGGGTTGTACCACTTTTGTGCTGCTTTCATGCCACAGCATGACACAGGCCAGGCCCCACACTGGGCCCTCAGTATGTCTCAGGCAGGGTACTCACAGAGGCCATGAGCAGCTCCCAGGGGTCAGAGGGTAGGGCTGGGCACTCCCTGGGTCCCTGTTCACCTCCTACAACGCCCAGCATGGGGCTGTCCCTCAGAGGCCATATTAGCCCTAGAGCACCCCCACTCCACAAGCACCTAGTCTAGAGACCCCCAACGTGCAAGCTCTGACCCCAGGCGGACAGAGAACACTGCAGGACTCTGAATCCAGTGAGGAGCGAGCTGGCCAGGCCAAGCCCACAGCACCATCACCTTGAGGGATTTGACCCCCACCAGCCATCCCCAGGGACACCTCACACTGACCATGCATCTGTGAGTGATGTCATGTGAGTTCCAATAACACCTTGTGCTGGACACCATGTCATCCTCACTACACAGATGAGGAAACTGAGGCACATGCAGCACCCCTCCCCCATCACTCAGTAAGCACAGGCTGTAGACCAAAAGGAAGGTCAGACTGTCCCACCCAGCACAACCATCCTTAATCATGGAGCATGGGGTCTGAAGTCTCAGGCAGGAAGCCTTGTGTCTGTCACTGAGGCGGTAGCAGGGGCAGCCTGACCCTCTGGACAACATGGGGCATTGTCTAGGCCCTTGTGAAAGCCACCATTGAGGCTGTGTCCCAGGCGGTGGGGCTGGCTGGGAGGGAGCAGCTGTCATCAGGTTTACTCTGAGAGCAGGGATCAGGGGGCCTGGGG